AAAAAACTTTGTTAGCTGCAGATGGCTTCTCGTACATATTAGACAGCGCTTCCATAATTCCCTTCGCTGTCTTCTCCTTCAGAATGTTGAACGCAACATTCTTGGTCAACGAGAGACGGATCACGGACATTGCTTTCCGATCCAAACCTGCCCAATCTGCATCCGACATCTTTTCTGGCTTGTCACCCAATACCACGTCCAAATCTTTCTGAACCAGCAAATCTTCAATTTGCATCTTCCACCAACTGAAATCTGTACTATCGAACTTCTCAATTCGGAACTTCCCATCTTCTGTCATATCAAACGACTAGACGAGATACCCGGTACAAAAATTTCAGATCTTGGTAATTTTGTCAGAAAATCAGGTCCACCACTTCAATTAAATTAGCCCACACCAAAAGTCCAAATCCAATAAAAAAACCCAAAAAAAAACAAACAAGTGGGCTGACCAGGTTTACGGCCCAACCTCCCACTTTTTTTTATTCGATCAGGATTTTCAATTGGCGGCTGAAGTTTTTCTTAGCAAAACCAGACGGTGGCAGCACGGGGAGCAATCGGCGGCGGTGCTCTCGCTGGACGACGGCGGCAGATCTCCACTCAAGCGGTGAATCTCTCTCGCTCCTTCCGCGTTCAGTTTTCCAGCGGCGACGATCTGATTTGACGGTGTCGGCGCAATCTGAAACGGCGCGGCTTCGCAGCGGCTCCTTAACGTGGCGGCGGCGGATCTGGACGGCGGATGACGGCTGAGATCCCCGGCGAATCTGTGCGCGGGTCACTCATCGGCTGCTGCTCAACGCGGTTCTTCGTTGCTGTGCGTCCCTCCTCTGGATCGCAGCTTCTGCCGCTACACAAATAGCCTACACAGCGGCGCTCCTCAATTGAACGGCCACACACCCGGGCGATCTGGATCCCACACGGTTCTTCACACAAGAACCCTAGGTGACAAATCTTCTTGCAATTTGTGTTCGTGTTGAACAACGAGGCTCTGATACCACTTGTTGGGAACTAAACACACAACACACACAAATAATCTACGAGAAACGAGAGAGAAACGGAACACAAACGACACACAAGAATTTAACGTGGTTCGGTTTCCCTAATCCACGGCTGCAACAGGAGGAATTTCTTATTTCACTTGTGGTGTAGATTACAAGTACAAGCCCTCTATATATATAGGGAAAAAAAACTAGGGCTACGCCCAACTGGGCCGGGCCGACAAACAAGCCTCCACAAAGCCCAACATATATATATATATATATATATATATATATATATATATATATATATATATATATATATATATATATATATATATATATATATATGGATTGACTCCAATGAGATGACACCTTATGGTGAGATGACATGCTACGGTCAGATGACGCAAAGCTCACCATACAACACTACAAAGCTCACCAATGGAGAACGCAAAGCTCACCTGGAAATAAAGCAAAGCTCACCACTTTGAACACCAAAACTCACCTTTTTTTAAATTTTGAAAATTAAAAAATTAATAAAAAAATAAAATAACAACACCGGTCAACCACCGGTCTGAGGCGGCGACAGGCGGGGCCCGGTGACCAGCGACCGGCGGCGGCCGGCGACAGGTGGTAGGCGGCGGTCAAAGCTACCAGTCAACGGTCAAAATCTAGTCAGCACCCATTCCTTTGATTTTTTTTTCAAAAAAAAATTCAAAGTGTTGAAAAAACATGGTGAGCTTTGCGTCATCTGACCGTAGCATGTCATCTCAGCATAAGGTGTCATCTCACTCGAGTCAATCATATATATATATATATATATATATATATATATATATATATATATATATATATATATAAGATCGCACATTGGTGAAAGGAATAAGAATAAAATCTAGCCTCTGGATCTGATGCATCGTGCAACTCAGATTTTGAGATAGTGCATTTTCAAAGGATTTTGGTGCATTTCGACATGATGCATTTTCAAACTATTTTGGTGTACCTAATTTTGATACAATCCTGAACCTTAGATCTCACAATCTAAAGCACCAGATTCATTATTATTTCTTTCATAAGATCGCATTATCACCAGAACTAAAATCTATATGTGTGTGTGTGTGTCAAAATTAGAAAGTCAACAACAAATATACAGTTTTTATTTCTTTCATTAGTCAAAATAGAAACTGTTTTCTTGAATGGAGAGAGTGTATAAACATATTTTCATTTTGATTCGATATTTTTCCCTCTCTATTTATGTAATATACCGATCTCCTCTGAGATAGTGGTAGTGTCTTTGAGAAAATCTTTATATTTACATTATGTTTGATTCGTAGAATTAGAAAATAAAGTAACTGAAAAAAAATTCATTTTTGTATGTGATGAATTTTACTTTTGGATCAGATGATTGTTGGGCCGAGCAAAATCGAGACGAACAGGTAGTTTTGCTTGTTTTGAAATAAAGTTTATGCTTTAATCATTTTATATATTATCACTACATTTATATGTAAATACTTTTCTTCCTAAAACAATTTTAATCATCCATTTCATAATGTGAAATTTTGCATTAAATAGGACTAAAACATAATGATTTTCCTAATGTAGAACTTAAACTTTTTTATTCCCTAAATAGGACTTAATAATGACCTAGTTGAAGGAATAATGTCCAGTAATAATAGACATTTAGTTGAATAATGAGTACTTCATAATGACCAAAAGTCCTACATTTGGAAATAAAAACATATTGTCCTATATTGGAAAAATCATTATGTTTTAGTCCTATTTAAGTAAATTTCTCGCATATGATTTTTGTGGATTTTCTTACATAAAAAATCTTTTTTTATTCAAAAAATGATTCTTATTTAAGCGATAAAAAAATACTTATTTTACTCATATGTAAGTCTATGATGAACTTTAAGTCCACCAAAGAATTTGCCTAGATAGAATACATATTGAAAGAGAGTATACTATATCGGCACGTTTCCATGGCCACTGGAATCAAGTGGCCACGGAATCCAATGGCTTCCGTGGCCACTGGATTCCAGTGGTCATGGAACCGTGCCGTATAGTATCGGCCCGGTTCCATGGCCACTGGAATCCAGTGGCCACGGAAGCCACTGCCCCCCTACGGAACTCCGTTCATAAAATTGATGATTCCTACCCCCCTAACTCCCCCGGTAAACTCCCCGCCAAGTCCCGACCCAAACTCATCACTCCACCTACGTCAATTGTACCTCGTAAGCATAAAGTCAAAACTTTTGACTTTAAAGTCAAAAATTTTGACTTTAAAGTCAAAAGTAAGTTACCGGAGTAAGTTAAATTAAAAATAATTAAATTCAATGTAATTAATTAAGTGGTCTTTGCTTTAAAAAAGTACACATTTAATTAGTTTGACATACTTCTTTTGGGCAAAAAAAAACCCAACGGTGTATAGTAACCACTACGTTCGAAAATGTAGCCTGCACTTTTCTTTGTTGAATGTTTCAAATTAAAATTAAGTATACACTTCTTCATTTTCTTTTTGGAAAATAAATACTTCATCTATCTCATGAAATTCTTTACAGATTAAGTTTTTATTATCAAATAATTATACACATTAATTTCAAATTAAATATATTTTTTTAAAAAATTATATATCAAATTTGTATCTCAAAAACAACCTAATTTTATTAAATTTACATTATAGTTGAGTATATTTTTTTACCATTGATGGTCAAAGTGTATAAAGTTTATCAAAAAAGGTCAATGTGTAAGGAATTTTATAGGATGAAGAATGGAGGATGTGACTTATCATTTCTTATTTTGAATATATTTGTACAACACACCCACCTTTCACTTTTCACATCTTTTATTTTTAACCAAGCAACTTTACACTTTTCTTAACTTGAGCATATTAAAGTACAAATTTCATTTGAGGTGGAGTGAGTAAAAGTACAAAACTTTAATCTTTTTATAGAATTGAAATTTTTTTAATGAGAGAATAACTTATTGATTATAAGAACATTTTAGAAGAGGAGTGACATTTAACTCAATTAAGTTAATTATTGTTTACAATTTAAATTACAATAAACTTTCAATTAAGTCCATTAAATATAATTCATTTAATTTATAATAATTTTCCCTTCAAAAGAACAAACTTTTATGCTCATGACTAAAATGTAGGGGAACTTGGTTCCTAGAGCCTCTTCATTTCCTTCTGGAATCATAACGTTAGCAGATTATGTTCATCAAAGAGGATTGAAGCTTGGGATCTACTCCGATGCAGGGTAAGATTAATTTCTCCTTCCCCTACCTAGTGAATCTAATTGTTGGTGAAGAATTGGCATGTTTTGTGATAAATTTGGGAGGGACAATAATGCTCCTAAACAATGTTAGATATTCGGTTTATGAAAAATGTGAAGAACAACTTGATAGATTTAGCAAATCGCGTATAAAGGTTTTCATATTAAAGTTATTTCAGGATAAAAAAACCATTTAATTTAATCAGATTAGATGTAAGTGATCTAGAATGAGTATGTGATACGGGCCCAATAGCCGATACTTGGCATCGGCCGTCCACGCCAGTGGTAGCTCGTCCTCGACGAAAGGTTGGGCCACTGAAGAGATATCGAGATTACATTTGAATTGTTATATTTTCTATTTATTTCTTTCCTATATTTATTAATTATTGTACTCTAGATTTTTATTAGGTGAGCGGAATTATAAGCTCCTTCGAGGTTTCTTTTCGGTTCTTTACCTCGATGCTTCTCTTGAACCGATAGGACTAGGGTTTTCTCTTATTTCTTTATACACGCATGTACCTGTTCAAGTGGAAATAAGAAAAGAAAACATTACGTAGAAATTTAGTTTACCGCAACTTCCTTTGCCCTAGCCGCGCAAGTTGGCCAAGGAGCTTCGGGTTCCACCTTGGTCCTTATCAACTCGTGCTTTCATCATCGTCTTCATGGCCTCCTCGTCGTCCGATCCTGTTCCTCCTGTCTTGATGCTCGAGGACTTGATGCATGCTATCAAAAACCTAGGAAAGGAGTTACAAGCCACCAAGTTGCAAGTCTCCGAACTGGTAGTCGTCCGGCAGCAGATTCCGCCCAATGTACGACATCCACATGTCGGTGCATGGCGCCCACCATTGCCTAAAACAGCACCCCCAACCGGCAATCCGCTTCCTCGCATGCGGGTGGAGCCCCGCGCTTTACGGGTGAAGACCCGGCTGGTTGGACGTTTTGCGTCCAGATGTATTTCGATTATTTTGGAACTCACGATGCTGACCGCCTACCATTGGCAGCGATGTTGATTGACTACCCCGCTTCGAAATGGTTTTGTTAATATCAAACTAATAATTGTGCCGCTTCGTGGGAGGACTTTCTTGTGGTCGTACGCCAACGCTTTGATCCCGATTATTATGAAAACTACGTCGGCCAATTGCCCAAAATGACCCAATCCTTGACCACTATGGAGTATCAAACAGCGTTTGAGTCCATTTTGAACAAGGTATCGAGTGTGCCAGAGTCGACGCTCGTGGCTATGTTTGTGGCCAGGCTCAAGCAACTGGTCCAACGCGAAGTTAACCTGCGTAACCCGACGATGCTCCCTGCGGCTTTTGCATTGGAACGAGAACTCGCTGCCTGTCACTAGGAGGTCTTGGGTAGTGTATCCCTCCAGCTCGGCGTCCGTGGTCGCCACGGCCTTCTACCCCAGTTTCGGTTGGGCCTGCCTCACAGCCCTCTCCTTCACCCAAACCTTTAGATAAAACCACGTCGAGCCTGTTACCGATTGTACGGCTCACGAACGCTGAAAAATTGGAACGCACTAAGAAGGGGCTTTGTTGGTACTACGACGAAAAGTGGGTTACGGGCCACAGTTGTCGGCAACATTTTCTTTTGTTCATGGGCCCTGACAATGATGATCCATGTGTAACTCCACCCGAACAGCCAGACGCGTCGGACATCACCTCAATCATCACGGGGGACGTCTCGAGTGTCCTTTCTTTGGCCTGGAAGCCCAAGTCCACGGGCGCTGAAGATTTCCGATTCGGTCAGTAGTATGGCGGTCCAGGTGTTACTTGACAGCGATAGCACACATAACTTTATTCACCCACAAGTGGCCGAATGCCTTGCCTTGGTTCTCCATCCCATTCCAACTTTTCGAGTTTATGTCGGCAATGGCGATTCGTTACGATGTTCTTACTCTTCCCGCGCACACCCCTCTCCTTACAAGGTAATATATTTGAAGTTGGCCTCTTTATTTTGGAAATTCACATACCAGATATTGTGCTTAGGGTCTAGTGGCTTCAAACTTTGGGGAAAGTCTCTTATGATTATGCACACATGACTATGGAATTTGAGTGGAATGGCACCACGTTCCTACTCCGCAGTGATGTGCAGTCCCCACAGCCGATGTCCTATGGTCTACTATGCTCGTTATTATCAACAGATGCTGAAATGGACATTTGCGAGTTGATAGCTTCGGATTCCTCATCGTTACACCAGCCGGTCATAGAGATCAGTCTGCCAGACGACATCCTAGCATCTATTTGGCAGACCCTTTTGAATCATGTAGCTGTTTTTAGTATCCCAACAGGGTTACATCTATTTCACCCTTGGGACCATCGAAGAATGAGATCGAGCGACAGGTGCGGGAGATGCTACAACAGGGGATTATACGCCCCATCAAAAGTCCGTTCTCCTCACCCATCTTGCTAGTTCGAAAGAAAGATGACACTTTTTGGTTTTGTGTTGATTATTGGGCGTTGAACGCGGACGAACTGTTTGATGAACTGGGGGCCGCACGCGTGTTCACCAAGCTAGATTTGCGATCAAGGTATCACCAAATACGGATGCATGAGTCTGATGTGTTCAAAACCATATTCCGCACCCATGATGGCCATTATGAATTTTTGGTTATGTCGTTTGGCTTCACAAATGCGCCGTCCACGTTTCAATCCGCCATGAATAGCATATTTCGGGAGTACTGACGAAAATTTGTTCTCACCTTCTTCGACAACATTTTCATCTATAGCCCGTCTGTGGAGATCCATGGCACGCATCTTGAGACTATCTTGGGCATGTTGCATCAGCATCAGTTCTTTGTCAAGCTCAGTAAGCGCTCTTTTTGTCAAACAACTATTGAGTATTAAGGTCATTTTATTGTCCCAGTAGCTCGACCCCAGCCAGGGGCTTTGCCTTGGACCCTGCCGGGGCTCCCACCCCTTGGGCCCTGCGATATATAGTGTGGTCGCTAGGGGTGTTCATCGGTCTAAAACCGGACCAGACCAGACCGAACCGGACCGAAGACCGAAATATGCCAAAACTTAGACCGAAGACCGGACCTAAATGTACTTGGTTTTGGAACGGACCAGACCGAATTCACATGGACCGAACCGGGAAGACCGAAAAGACCGATTTTAATCTGTTACGGTATTAGTATTATCTAAAATGGCTGGAAATTAGGATTGGAATGCTGCTGCTATGCTGCCGACTAAATCACTGTCGATTGTTGAAGGCCAATGTGCCCACTTTCATAGTTGGAGAAGAAGATTAGAGAGGGCATGCAAGAATAATCATGATTAATACATACCTTCGCAGTCCAATTGAAGCCTTTCGACACAAAGAGATGGGAAATCTAAGAAGCATCGGCCATCGCCCGTCGTCGGTCCAGCGGGTAGCGAGGATGAATCCCTACTTTCTGAGAAGGTCGGCCGTCAGTTTACTCCCAGAGACCCAGACTACGAGCGTGTAAATTGACGATTGGGAATTGGCTTTGGGATTGGGTTTTCAATATTTTAGTATTTGGGCTTTAAAAAATATGTATGGACAGTGGGCTTACTGGGTTGGACTATTGGACCAATTGGGAATTAAATGGACTATTCGGTCTAATCGGTCTAGACCGATTGTCAATTGGGTTTGGAACGGACCGGACCGAAACCCGAAATGTTAAATACATAGGACCAAAGACCGACCCGAAATCGATTCAGTTCGGGTTCGGTCTGGACCTATCGGTCTGGTTTGGTCGGTTTTTTCGGTCTGAACCTAAACATGAACACCCCTAGTTGTCGCCCCCGGATTCTAGCTATCAAATTTTTAATATCATTGAATGAGCATGCACTCTACACCTTTAAACTCGTTTAAAATATGTACTAAAATTCTTCTCCATTCTAAGTAAATCTCAATCATAAAATAGTTGATGATACTAAAATCACCAACAATCATCCCATATTCTACTGTAATCCATGATCCACTTAACATGAGATATCATAATGACAAACTTATGGATAAATGAAAATGTCCCGATGATTGAATTTTCATCTTAGTATGTTACATAATCAAAATATTTGAATCTCAGAGTGTTACTAAGGATTGAAATCCAGCTATTCATTTAAATACATGAAGATAAAGATCATAATATACACATAAGTTCCACATACTCATTTTCTAATCTTGACATGATGTTTTATTAGCCTTGTGTCCCTATCCTTCAATGAATATATAAAAACCAAGTCCAAGCTTTGTTAAGCGGATAAACTTCATACTTATATAGCATATTGTTTGATGTCTTGCACATGCGTATACAATTTTCCATAAGAATTATAAGAAGATATATTTCAACCTCTTATACTCAAAGGTCTGAACACATACCTTGCGATGTCGTTGTTAATATGTTCTATTAAAGTATCTCACATCAGAATTTGAAGAGAAAAAATAATCAGTATATAAGCTCTTAAGTTGAACTAAGTAATTGATTGGATTCAATTTTTAATAAAAATAATCAGTATATAAGCCCAACTGACTTATGACCCAATCCCATGATCGCTACTCCATGAACTTCTAAATAGACACCTTAACAAATAAGGTTGGCTAAAACTAGCTCTGATACCATGATAGAATTTTACATGGGGTAGGGATCATTAGAATGGTCCAAAATACACTTAGGCTGAACCACATTAAAAGATTGAATCCAATTGATTACTTTGTTCAACTCATGATCTTATATACCAATTACTTTTCTCTTCAATTTCTGATGTAGGATACTTTAGCATGATCCAATCTCTAGATGTTAAGCTTTCCACATTGAATCCTGCACATTGATGGGAATTGGGAATCTCAACGTGAAAGACTTTATGTGGACTTTAATCCCATCCCTGGCCTATAGCCAATTTATGCACAAAAATCTCTTCTTAATCCTTTGGTTAAGTGATTGGCTAGATTCTGTTGAGTTCTAATTAACTCTATCGATGCCGCACCATAGTTGATAAAATTACAGATCATGATATGTCTAACACCCATATATCTAGATGTACCATTGTAGACTTTGTTATATGCCTTAACCAAGGCAGTAGCATTGTCGCATCATATAGCTATTGAAGATAATTGTTTTGGCCACAATGAAATTACATACATCAAGTTTCTTACTTCCGGCCAGCATGGGGACTAGGGTGTTACAAATGGTATCAGAGCAACCCTGCGACAGTGACAAGCCAACGAGCTTAGTTCATCTAGTGGGGAAGATCTAAGGGCTTGTAGAGGGTGCAACGAGAACATTCCATTCTTAAGTAGTGGTGAATGTAATACCCGGGTTAACATGAAATGGAAAGAGCTCAAAAGTATTAATAGTGTACTAGTTATACCAAAAAGGTATTTCTTTTTTTCAAAAGTTCATCACTTAAAAACTCCAAAGTTAAGCATGTTGAAGTTGGAGCATTTCTTGAATGGGTGACACACTGAGAAGTTCCTTGTGCATGCAAAAGTGAAGAAAAAGTACACGAGAAAGATTTGTGTTGTTTTGTAGGACTAGTATACAATCTTATTAGTAGAAACTTCTAGTATGGGTAGGGACCGAGGTGTAACAATGAATCAACTAGTAGCATAGATTAGGGAGACTGGCTAAGGTCATGTTCACCTCAACTTATTATTTTTACTTATTATTTATACTTATTATTTATTCTTATTAGAATTATATTAGATCAAACCAGATCAGATCAGAAACATCTTTAAATATATAACTACATTCAGATAAGACCACACCAGATAGGATCAAAACTTATTTCAATCAGATTATAACCATTCTCATTAGGTGAAGAGAACAATGCCTATATAATAAAAAGGGTTAGGATTGTGAAGACACTAAAGGAAGTGCTCAAGGAGTTAAAGAATAAGAAAAAGACTCAAGATAAGGCTCAAGCTTACGCTCTCTTATTTCAAAAGGAAGATTCTTTCTCCTAGGAATGCTAAGCCTAGGCCAAATAGAACCCCTGTCTTAAATAAAGCCTTATCTCTCTCCTAAACATCCTTACTACAGTTAAATTAAGAGGAAAACGATTCCTCCCTCTATCCAACCTGATGTAGTTTATGACATTTATGTGATGTTGTTTTCAACTTAAGAACTCCCTAAGTCCAGATTTAGTTACATGTCAACTTTTTTTAAATAAATCTCATTTGTTTTAAAAAAGTTCAAAATGTCAAATAAGTCTTCAAATGAGTTTGTGATTCATCCATGTCAACAATACTCATAACATATTTCTAATATTTTTTTAGAAAATTGATCATATTTTCTATATTGAGTGTAAAAGTAAACAAGTAATAATAAATAAGTGAAATGTTGAAAGTGTAAAGGTACATGTGAACAAATAAAGTATTTAAAAGTTATGGAGTATATCAAAAGATTTATAAAATACGAGAAGACTTGTCTAAGTTATATTAACAAATAATTAATGAAAATTTGTAGTGGAAGAAGATAGGAGTTAAAAATATTCAAACTACAAGATCTTTTAGGATGGAAGGACTATTATTATGTGAGTCTTTAATTTGAATTAGCTGTCAATATTAGTAAACCTCACAAACAATGCACAGTTCATCACTTTCACAAGTAATGTTTTACAATATACTTTTCTTCAATTGTAGGACAGAAACATGTAGTGATACAATGCCTGGATCATTGGGATTTGAAGAGCAAGATGCAAAAATTTTTGCTTCATGGGTATGTAATAAATATGTTTATTTGAGCTGCTTTAGTGTAGGAATTTTAAATGTGTAACACCAAAAAGTATTGAGAATCCTAGAATATGAGAGAAAAATACAAGAAAATATATGCAGAAAAATTATATTTTCACTATTTCAAGATAATATGCAAAAAAAACTTTCCCTTCTTTACAAGGTTAAATACCAAACACTCATAAAAAGGAGTGTAGATCATATATTTTTTCCCTCCTTCCCAGCACAACAAAGCTTTAAACCAATTATGGGCATTTTAAGTGTGTACGACTATTGGAATAAAAGGATAATAAGTTTACTTGAGAAAATTGAATGGTACTAGAATATGAAGCATTCCTAACACAAGCAGGAATCAACCAGTAAAAGAAAATGACTAATGAACAAATATTACCATAAGTAATACTATTGTTATTATTATCTAACATCTCCCCTCGAACTGAATCTAGCATAAGCAATAGGAAGCTTGGATAATATATAGAAAGTAGAAACTAAAAACCTTAGGAAAGATGAAGGTTGATGTGCATCGGTAGCTACTACCAACAAAGAAGAAGATGATGAAGAAGAAATAGAAGACAGAAGTTTTACATGCGTTGATAGCAGCTCACTTCGAAAGAGAAGAAGAAAATAAGGCTCTCAGAGGTGCTTATTTGGCTAAAGATTCCTGACACATTTCCTTTTTCTTGGATCCAGGAAATTATTTCCTCAATTACGAGAATATTTTGTGCTTTTCTTGAAGGGGTTGGTTGTTAGAGGGCATTTCTTAGTCTTCCTCTATTTCTTCTTTTGGATTTTCTTTTGTTGTGATTTGCTCTGGTTTTTTTCCTAATCAACATAAACAGAAAGGATATTGATGATGAAGAGTGAATGATTTGAGAGAGAAAATATGGACTAAGAATAGGTGGTGGAGAAGAAGATTCAAACGTGGTAAAAGGAGGGAGTTGCCTATCCATTAACAAGAGGATATTGACGGGATTTTTGTTACAACGGTTAGATTCAAGAAATACAACAATTATGAGGTTTGGTGGTTGAAAATTTTGGTTGCTGATTGGTACTAATGTGCCTAGGTACCTGTTAGTTTGAGAAGTGAGAGGAGAAGTTTATTTAAAGAGGCTAAGGTGGTGGTTCATAAGAAATGCCATCAATACTCGATTGATAACAAACTGAGCATGAACACCCTCTTCTCCAGAGTATTTACAACATATATATATATATATATATATATATATATATATATATATATATATATATATATATATATATATATATATATATATATATATATATATATATATATAACCACCAAATACTCCCCAAGCAAAGTGAACAAATCTTGGCTTCTTAATTTGCCAAATCACCTCAATGGAACAATTTGGTCTCCATCAACATGCGACTAAATGTGAGAAGCGCCCCTAGCTGCGATCCAATGGGTAGAGCCCCTGGCTAGGTTTGAAACTTCTTTAGCTCTTTGTAAAAACATTCAATGTGTAAATTGTAGATTCCAATGTAGGCATTCTCTAGACTTTGCCTATTACAGAAAATTGCTAAATGTTTGAATGTCATTATGCAACACTCAAATGTTGAATAATGTTCTCTCACATCATTTGCAAGACATTGCAAAATATTTGAATGTTTCTATGGAACATTGGAGTGTTTGATGGTAATCTACAAAACTTAGTGCAAAAGATCTGCTAAGATTTGAATATTGGTATTTAAGCATTCAAATGTTTAGAGATAAAACATGCAGATTTGAGCGTAAACTGCTACAATCATTTGAATGTTTGAATAAAACATTCGAATATCTACATGACTTGTTTTGTTTTTCACCAACAATGATGTACAATCACACATTTCTTTGTATCTATAGAGAACAACAATGTGTTTGAGTTACAATAAAATCCATACTCGATCTAGATTACTTACATCTTAATAGATATTTATAATTAAAGGAAGGTATTTATTATTCCAAAATATTCTCCTTTGGGAAGATAACTACAATCTAAATTATGTTGAATAATACAGTATTAGAAAATTCACATTTTAATAAAATGGTTTTAAAAATAGCATCTTTACATGGAATTTTGGATAAAGAAATTTATATGAAATCAACAAAAGGTTTTGTAGATCCTCTCAAGGAAGACATGTCGTTCAAGCTCAACAAAAACTTGTAAGTGTCAAAGTAAGAACCAAGATAGTGGTATAAGAAGTTTAACTCTAGATGCAACAAAAGTTTTGAGAATTACTTTCAGAAGATGTTCAAATTAATGAAAAATGTCAATGCAAAGTCTAAGACTACTCCATTTACAAATCATCTAAAATTATTCAAGGAGCAATTGTATAAGATAGATGAGGTGCAAACTTGAAGTATGTTATGATGTGCACTAGACTTGATATATCACAAGATGTGAGAGCTTTCAAAAGGTCATGACAAAGTTAATCAGCGTATGTCTATATTATAAATTATATCACAGTTAGTTGGATGTCTACGCATTAGAAGTATGTTTCTTTTTCTTCTACTAAGGTTAAGTATGTGACAATAGTCCAAATTAAGATGGCCTCCCTTATGGTTGGATCATTAGATTCCAATCAAAAACCAATTTTTAATTGGAAGAATAACTCATATTCTTATATATGAAATATTTTTTTAATTTTTGTGTTCGATATAGAACTATATCCTCGACAATTAGCTTCAGCTTTCCTAACTTTGATCTTTTTGCTCTATGCTCTTGGTTAGGGAATTGACTATTTAAAGTATGATAATTGTAACAACGATAATGAAGATGTTAAAGACAGGTACAAATTCTATTGGCTCCTTGTTTCCTCTTTTATGTATATATGATATGTGCATCATGTTTAGATTTGATGTTGATTGATTTGATCTTTTTGTTGTCTTTTTTCTAACTTTTTAGTAAAACCATTTTTTATCACATTATTCATAGTATTACTCATTTTTGGTAACATTGCAATATTGCATTAATCACTTGTGGCTATCTAATTTTTTTATCAATACTACCTATAAAAAATTGAATGGTTACAAGGAGGGAAATCAAACCACATATACAAAAAAAAATGAGACAAAAAGACACACAAGAATCGAAATCCCGGAATCTAAAGGGTTGGTGTAGCAGCAAATAGGGAAGCTAAACAACAGAAGCAGCACCATATAGAGAAGAGTAGAACCAGTTGGCAGCTCCTACGAAAATATAATGTTGATCAGGAAACCAAAAAAATACTTGAAAAGATATAGAAGAATGAAAGATGAGTCTCAGAAGCTTTTCTTAAGGGTGGAAGTGCCCGCCTACCATACTGGTGAACGTGAACGCTCTCCTGAAAAGATAAAATGGCTAGCACATAGGTTAGTTATATGGATCGTGAACGCTCTCTACATTGATATGATTGTCAACTAGAGGGACGAGGCCCCAAGGACCCCATATCATATGTTTTTTGTTTTAGCGTCTAAGCACTATGTTTCAAAGCCCTGGACTTTGTGTTAGCTCTAAGTCCTAGAAATCGGGTTCATAGTCTTAGCCTGGAGTCTGGGGACCTCGTACATTCATTCTACACTCGAACCCTACACCTTTGTCTTAGCCTCGATACTTGTGCTCTAGGTTCCAAGTGTTTGGGCAGTTTTTTTTATGCCTCAATATCGATCCTCGGGCTCGGCCTCGAACTAAATTTCCACTACTATTATATACGTAAAGTTTGAATCTATCCACTCTTCACCCTTGAGTTTTATCTCTTGTCAAAAGATGTTACATCCTTGTATATGTCCTTTGACAACAAACACACTTTCATGTGTGATGCTCACAAACAAGGGAAATGTGACATCATATTGTTGTCTTTCCACTAAATTGTATTAATGAATAAAGATTTGACATGATATATATATATATATATATATATATATATATATATATAACATCAATTTCTATTACAAAGAAAAGTCTAAACTATTTATTGAATTTATTTGGTAACAGTATTTTATACAATCAAAACCATACATGAAAAAATTAACTTTGTTGAAGTTTTTTCTATTTCCTTAGTTTTTTATATATTATGCACACCCCTAGTAATTGAGTATTTTTCTCTTTAATTGAAAAATCAGGTACTATAAAATGAAGCAGGCACTACTTAACTCGGGAAGAGAAATCTTTTTTTCTATGTGTGAATGGTACGCCTTTTGCCCAAATAATGTGTTTCTTCTAGTCATCATAGAATTTCTCGCTTCTCAAATCATGTTTTTATTTATTAGGGGACAAGAAGATGTTGCCACTTGGGGACAATCTGCAGGTAATAGTTGGAGAACCAGTGGAGACATCGATGATAATTGGGAAAGGTGTGTATATTGTGTAATACTCCTTCTATCCCTAAATATATTTTCATTTTAACTTTTCACCTATCCCAAAATACATTTCCACTTCAATTAAAATCTCATATTTACCATTAATAATTATGAGAACTTGTAATCTTACGATAATAAAAATGACACCAGTGCTTGACACCAGTAGTTTTGGAGCACTTGCGGTGCTCTGTTCATAAAACGAATGATTCCTACCCCCTAACCCACCATCTAAACAATCATACCCATCAATTTTACCTCTTCCCCACCCCAATCCTCTTGCACCCCCCTCCCCTTAGATTGCCGATTTGGGGCCCCAAATCGGTGATCTAGGGAGCATAGGGGCTGGGGTGGGGCGAGACGAAATTGATGCGTACGATTAGTTTAGAGGGTGGGTTAGGGGGTAGGAATCATCAATTTTACGAACGGAGCACCGCAGGTGCCCCAAAACTACTGGTGTCATGATGTTACACCACTTAAAGTGGTGTAACATTAAAGCTTCTCAATAATTATTAAACTAACTATCATATAATACATATCCATTATTAATGCAACAATCACATCTTATTCTACCATACTATAAAGCAAGGCGAATTAAATATAACACACAAAATACGGATTTTTAAAAGTAGAATTTTTTTTAATGATGGAGGTAGTATGTTGTAGTCCTAACATATTTTATAATTTTTTTTGCCCTAACGCCCTGTATGATATTTGTTGAAAAGTTTATGAAAAACAACAAAAACTGATGGGACTAAAAATAAAGAACATACAACCTTTTTTCGTGATAACACCTCTCAACCCAAAGAAAATCCATGACCCTATCGAATTATATTTCCACTATACTATTCCCTTGGCTATCAATATTTTTGAGACTACACCTTACCTTACATCTCTTCCCTTGGATCTATCTCTTCCAGGCACTCAATCTTATAGCATATGAGTAGAATTCATTACAAAAAGCGTCTAACAAATTTAAAAGTAATACACCACTTTCATATCTTCTTGCACCATAACTCACACAATTCATAAATTGCTCATCCGTTCTTCTCCTTCTTATTTCTGCATGCTTCACACACCACCATACATGGATTTCTTATTATAATTTGCTTCGTTTTATATCCTTTCTTTTTCTTCATTTCACACCCACACACATCACATCTTTTGTTATGCATCATTCAATTTATTTTTCTTTCAACTTGAGAACAAAATAAACTCCAACATACTTACTATTTTAAAATTAGGGAGGTATATATACCTAACAAGTTTATCCATCAACTCAATTCAACAAATGTCTAAGCTTGACTTAAGGAACATACTTTTTTCTTCACGTCAAAACGCAATGCTTGTGCTGCCACATCGAGTTATACCGTCGTTATACTATCACCAAACAAAACAAGCCTCACCAAACGAGACATGTCTTTTGACTCCACAATGCCAGAAAGACTTTGACAGAAGGAATGGACCTATTGATTACCGATTTTGACAATTCGCGTAATCTTTTATGGTATCTTTTATCCATTTATTCCCATGCTAACGTGGTCAAACTCATCATCTCTTATTGCATAAGAGGTTGACCATCAAGATCTCACATTCTTGATTTTTCTAGCACGATTCCTCTGTAACTCTAATGGTGAATCTTGAAATGCCACATGAGATAAGACCTATAGTGCGTGGCTCTGAAGTTTTTCCCTCCACAAAAATGGACCTTTCGAACCTAACAATGTCGCACCTTGGAAAGGTTATGGAATGAGAGGCGGGTTGCCTTTGCAACAAACTGTCATTATGTGCTCTCGACAATTTCTAGCTTCTCTATCAAGTCTAGAGAATTTGTCATGGCAACCTTGTTTAAAACACTACCTATGAGGAATGCACTAGTGATGCTCCCGTTCAAACAGTCTCAGTATGTCTCAGTAATTTTTGGCCACTAGAGCCCTTGTAAGACTCCCATTTTTCTCTATATCAATGTATATCCTTATCATTGCCATTCTTCATCCTCGAAAGCATAGTTCCATTGAAGGGTATCTTGGAGGTAGGGGATCTATGAGATCTGACCTTGAGGGACCTTCTCTAGAGGGTGGACATGTTACAAAGAAAATGTGAAGAGCTTACAACCTTGGATCTATCTGTGCACCTCAAGAGCTCACTTACTAAGTACTTCCTACGAGAGTCGAGTCCTCCAAAGTTCCACATTCCCTAAGGACCATTTCCACAAGCTCCAGACTAATATGACTGTCATCAATTGCTCATAATAGCTCTTGTGCTGAGCCTTTTCGGCTACTCTGGAAGGACGTGCTCATAATGGTTCTTCAATAAGACGAAGCTTCCGACATTCTCTAAGGGCATTGTCCGGGTTTTTTCCAGAGATCGAGAAAATGGAAAGTTATAAAGAAGCATAGAACGGATTACAAAGAGAAGAAAAATAAACTTCAAGCCCTTATTCCAATCGCCAACACTCTCCTTAAAAATGAACTTAGAAAATTTACTCTCCACTTTGTTCGTCATGCAATGCAGATCTACCCCTCTACTTCTAGCAGCTATCTCTTTATCGATGACCAGCTTGCGGAGGATATTAGGAATATTTAGGGCAATAGAAAATAGAATATTATCATTATTATTTACTTTTCTTATTCTATTTTTACCTTAATTATTTATTCGGCTATGGTTAGGATTTTCTCTTGTATCCCCTATGTATAAGAATGGAACTTTCATTATTTAATAAGACCAATATTATCAAATTATATCAATCCTTCCTCAAAAGGGAGGGACTGGTACATAACTTAAAGATAGTGTTGGTTAAACATCCTAACTATAACCACTCATATTTTAGTAGAAATTATATTGTTTGATAAGAGAATAATCACGGAAATGCTAGAGTCACAAACAAATAGTTCACAAACTTCACAAATTTATTTTCTGTGGATTTTAAATTAAAATATATTTTATTATTTGAATGCATCTTATTTCTAACAAAATATTAAAAAGGTAGATTTGTGAATTTTATAAAGGTGACTTTGGCATTACTCTAATCTAAATTAAAGCATACACATATTATCAAACATATACAAATTTATAGTCTTATATGAGTTTTTTTATATGTTTCCAGCATGACTTCACATGCGGATCAAAATGACCAGTGGGCATCTTATGCATATCCTGGGGGATGGAATGGTACTTTAATTTTAACTTTTTTTCAAATTTATTTTTTTGATAATTACAACTGAAAATACAAAACTCAAACATATTTTGACTCAAATAATTTTTTGGTCAAATGTGAGGGAACATTGACTAGAGGGGTGTGCTTGCTAGTCAGGAATTTCTTACACACGTGAAAATTAAGTCTTATTTTTGGTAATTATTTTCTATTTTCAACATCTAAATTTTGGATTCTAGACTCAAGATTCTAATTACCAGAATATATACTTTAATTGAAATTAAAGCGTGAATAGATGGCATTAATCATGTAATTAATTTTTTTATATCACTGACTCTATTACAATATAATATCTGTTTACAATAATGGTGCACAATTTTTTTTATATTCGTGACCTCAGATCCAGATATTTTGGAAGTTGGAAACGGCGGCATGACTCAGGCAGAATATCGATCTCATTTTAGCATTTGGGCATTGGCCAAAGTAGGTATCATATCATAATATTCTCCTTGGTTCCCATGACATTGGAAATCAATGTCATATGATGATCTGGGGGTGCACCGGTACTAGTCGTAAATTGACAGTTCCTGTCTCTCCAAATTCCCCGGTAAACCCCACCACCTCGACCTCGAACACACCCACCCACCTCGACCTGAATACACCTCCCGCCCCTTCCATTGCAACCCCAAGTTAATTTTGACTATGAAGTCAAATTTTGACTCTAAAGTTAAAATTAACTTGGAGGTGTAATTGAAGGGGGTGGGGGTGTGTTCGAGTCGGGACGGGGTGGGGCTGGGGGTTTACTAGGAGGTTCGGGGGTAGGAGCCGTCAATTTTAAGAACGGGAGACCGGAATACTCCCGGATCATCCGATGACTTTGATTCCTAATGTCACGGAAACAGGCTTCCATAATATTATAAAGTGTCTTTAAACGTTGTTGTTTATGGCTATGGGAGGATGGGTATAAGACTAAGAATAAAAGAGCTCAAACACCCATATATGGATTATCAAAAAAAACATAAAAGAACCAAAAGAAACATATCTTTAAACATTGCATAAATACACAAACACGCCGGATAAGATGGGGCTGGATCAAATCCTTTTTTAATTAACTTAATTTACAGATCTTTTGATAGAAATCTAGAATGCAGAACTCATTTAAGAATTCTAGATTTATATCAAACTAAGGACAAGTCACAGAGTTTATCTAATCCGGTCCCAAAGACCAGCCAATGTAAAAGGAAATAATCATAATTAATATATTTCGTAAGATAGTCCATTTTCGAGAAAGCGTATGCTTTTTACACACTCAAAATTAATGATTCATACCTTTTTTAATCTGGTAATTCTAAGAACACCCACCCCGGCCTAGTCCAAACGTATCCCCCATTCCCTTCATTTTCATCATCTAAATTTAATTCACTTTGAGGTAAAAAAAATTAGACGACCTCAATCTCAACTAAATTTGAGAAATGTAATTGAAAGGTTTAGGGGTAGGTGAGTGCAGGTCGGGCTTTGAGTTGAAAATTTACAGTGGCATTGTAGTGTCAATCAGACCCAATGTCAACGGAACCGGTCCCCAACACATTGCTAGACATTGCAAAAAATCAAATGTATAACAAAAGAGTTCTTTTGACCCTTGAACTATTATGACCCGAGGCCCATACAGTGCTTCATTCGTAGAATTGATGGTACTATCCTCTAACCCCCCTAAACCTTACCCCTGCCCACCCCACCCCAACACCCCCTACCCCCCCCCCCCAAATCGCTAATGTAACCAATCGGCGATTTGGGGAAGGGGGTAGAGGGTGCTGGGGTAGGGAGGTAGGGGGCATGGAGTAGGATTTAGGGGGGTTAGAAGAGGTAGGAACCATAATATGACCCGAGATTCAATGGTGAAAAGGACCTTGCCGTATATATATAATGTAAAAACTCAAAAAATTTAATGAGTAAACTTTGCAAATCATTGAGTGCAAGTAGGCAAATTAACATGACATTGCAATTTAAAAAAAAAACAGGCTCCCTTGCTGATTGGGTGTGATATTCGATATATGGACAATTCCACCTTCAAAATACTTAGCAACAAAGAGGTCATCGATGTTAATCAAGGTATGTATTGCTCATTTTCTTATACTCTCTTGGCATATTGAATTGAAAAAAAAAACATTGGAAGTACTAGTATATTTTTTTATATAAAAAAATTAGTAGTATTTTTGAAAAAATAGGGAATAGGAAATTATCTAAGTAGTTTTTCTATATAAATTAGTACGGCTCCATTATTTGACAACAAATTTCGTTGACATATTATAACAACCTCTACGGTGCATTTTTTTTTAAAAAAAACCCTTATCCCATGCCCCCACCCGNGTAATTTTGTAGCCAATCCGCATTTTGGGGAGAGGGGCAGCGAGGCTGTTAGGGTGTGGGGCAGCGCAGTTTTGGGGGTAAGGAAAGGTACAAATCATCAATTTTTCGAATCGAGCACTATAGGCATTATTATCATATTATGACAACAAAATTTGTTGTCAAAAGAAGGGATCCAAATTTTGTTGGGCTTCTTTTGACAACAAAAATTGTCATACTATGACAATAACTGATAACGTACTCCGTTAAAAAAATTGATGGCTCATATCCTCAATTCTCCTTTCCAAAAAGTTGATTGACCACAGTATTATTGTAGCTCATCAGTATTTTAGGGAAGGGACATGAGGTTATGTGAGATAAGAATCACCAATTTTTCAAAAAGGGCACCGTAGCGGTTGTTATCATAATATGAGAACAATTTTTGTTTTCAAAAGAAAGCCAAAGAAAATAGTAATACCATTATGTTGAAAATTAAGAAATTAAAATGCATATTTTTTTTGTGTGTGAGTAGATGCCCATATCTTGATTAAGCTTAAGATAGAAAGAAAGTTGCTTATTATTGTGATACCTAATTAATGTGCAGATGGACTTGGTCATCAAGGGAGAAAAATTAAACAAGATGGAGATTTAGAGGTAAATTAAACGTACTTTACCAATTACCACATTGTTAGCTAGTTGTCAACGCGTGACCAGTTTATTTATTTATTTAGCGGTTTTAGCCGTTGGAAAATTTAACATTAACTGGTATTTCAACGGTCTTATTTAGTAGAATCGATTAACTCTGAGCATATGTTCTCCCAAGTGAGACAAATGTTCCGATAACTAACGGATTTGGGAATTATTGGAAGGAAATTGGAGAGAAAACATCCACACTTTAGCAATTGTTGTACGGTCGACCAGACCTCCTAACGGTCATGTGGTCCTACCATAAATTCATCTCCCGAGCATGCTGGTTCAGAAATCTAATTTTCGGTCGATCGTGTCATTACTCTAGACTCTAGCACACCTACTCAACCGTGTGAATATGTTTGGTCGACCGTTACGTTTGGTCGGCTGAGATACAATAGTTATACACTCCATCATGCGGTGCTCCTTTGGGACCCACCATTCCTCATTGTTGATTGATTGAAGTTGTTTTCCAAAATTCTAAAAGTTGTGCAGATTAATATACTCCCTCCCTCCCCAATTTGATTACAAATTGCGGGTTACGGAGTAAAATTTCCTACTTTTTGAAATCATTTTATTTACAAATTGGTATATCAATAAGATATAAAAATTACATATTAAAAAACTACGTCAAAAGTTCTACAAAACAAGAGGTAACAAGAATATTTTATTTTATCAAAAACTTAATGAAATCGCGTAAACAAACAAAAGTTATCAAGAGGAGAGAAAAAAAAGATTGTAATCTATTTAGGGACGAAGGGAGTAGAATTTAAAGGAGAGATATTTTACTGCAGGTTTGGGCAGGACCATTGAGTGGGAACAAAGTGGCAGTGGTGCTGTGGAACAGAGGAGCAACGGAGGCAACCATCACTGCTTATTGGTCAGATTTGGGCCTCAACGCCACCACCCTCGTCACTGCTCGAGACCTATGGGATGTATGTATTTCTTCATACTTTATAGAGTAATTCTCATAAATAATCCTCCATCTGTCTTAAATTAGAATGCTTGTTTTTCTTTTTCGTCCGTCCTAAAATGATATGCATGTTTCCTTATTTGGTATGATTATTTATGTAGACTTCCCAAAATACCCTCTCATGTAATTACTCCTACCCACCCTTGCTTACTCCTACCCACCTTAAAAAAATAAAATGAGGGGCAATTTGGAAAGTCAACCTTAATTTTTTCTTTCCTTAAATATGGCTTAAAGTCAAAATAAGCGTTATAAAATGGGACGGAGGGAGTCTTTTATAATATGTGTTTTTCATCTATAATTTTTAATTTTAAAATATTATGTACAATCGTGATCCTCAAATTTTTTGAAACTTATTCCATAATTAGTCATTTCGGAACATATTTAGGGAAAAATATTTGGTCATATATGGCCTCAAAGAGTAAAAGACTAAGGAATCACCTCATATTCAACCTAAAACTCTTATTTTGATAGTTTTTTTTAATATTCTACGCCTATTATGGTATTTTTCTCGAAAAAAACTTGTTATGGAAGAAATTTCAGAAATTGAGAATAATGGATGTAGTATCTAAGAATTGGAGACCAAAAATGAAAAACCACCTACTCTTAGGGACCATTTATGAAACGTATTCTTGTTTATATGTGCTTGTTATTAAGGGTCTAGTCCCTTGGCCACTGGCTAGAGGAGTCGCTAGCGGTGTCATTACCTTTTTGGAATGCCTACGATGTTGCGTTTGTAAAATCTTTAGTTCATACTCCTAACCTCACTGAACCCCCGCCCCTGTACTCTCACCCCAACTGTCCCTTCCAAATGTGTGGTCACAAGGCAATAGCCTAATGACCACACATTTGGAGGAGGGCGGGAGGTTACGGTGAGAGTGAAGCGATAGGGTTGTGACGGGGACTTTTGGAGGGCTAAAGAGTTGGAACTATCAATTTTACAAATAGAGCACCGTAGGCGCTCCAGAAAAAACAATGACACTGCCAATAGCTCCGTAAGACAGTGGCTACGGAACCGTGGCGTATTATTAGCGATATATAACAAACCATGTATTGACAGCACTCGAGGGTGAGACTACCAAGTAAAGGACAAATCTCAGCAAGTGTTCCAACACATGACTGCAAAATGTATGTCCTTAGTCCGATGCCACCGTCGACCCAGAGGGATCGAAGTGCTGCAAAACGTTCAAATGTGTAATGTTTATATATAAAAATTAATTCTGTAACAAAATTGGTGCATTTCTATACAAAAAAATGTTGAAACTATTAGTGCCTGCAACTTGTATTAAATCTATTAATTTCTGCAACTTGTATTAAATATATTACTCATTATCCCCTCCAAGATTTAGTTGTGCTATTTTTCATATATTCAATCAAGAAATTTGTGATGAATTGGCTAAAATATGTCAAAGATAGGTTTTGGGCATTGTTGACACGAATGAGTAACAAATTAGAGTAAATTACCATCGAAATACCAATATAGGAGCGCATTATTTTTATCCACCTTGTCAACCAACCCCACGGTGGAGCTCCGGCGACCGGAGCTCTGGTGGCATTTGCAGTATGGGAGTCGTAATGAGAACTCATATTTAGGTCACAAAAAGAATATTATTCCTATTTTGGTATTTTCATTATCTTTTACTCCTACTTAGGTACTTCGCCCAAAATCATTTGAAGTGGGCAACTTATTTTTGAAAAATGAGACTTTTATAAAGTGGACAACTAATTCCGAACAAAGGGAATGCACAATGATCTATGTATGGATCAACATTCCCAATCACAGTCTCACTTAGCTGAAGCAATCAATAATGGCAGAGCATCATCAGATATGCAGAGCTCCTGCCATTGTTGCATTTACATGGATAATAACAAGATATGTGTGTATATATGTATATACTCTACTTCCAAACAAACCTCAGAATTCCATGGGTTTTCGCTGCATGTTTGTAGCGCCAAGGATCATTCATTCATCACTGTTGTTGCCCTCTCATCTTTTCGACGATGTTTCTTCCCTTCTCTTCAATATGTCGCCTCTTCTCTTCAAACTTCTCAGACATCTTCTTGCTCAAACCTATCATCCTCGCTTTCGTGCTTCCCAGTCTCTTTGTTTTCACGCCATCGTCTTCTTCACAAACATGGTTCTGTCCCACCTCCTCTTCCACCATGCCTTTGTTTTGACGAAGACTCGCTGCTTGCTCTTCACAACTCAATAATGGGACGCGCAGTTCTTTCTCTGGAGGAGGAGCAGCTAGTGATGAGGAATGTGCATTGAGAGCACTGTTTGCTTTTTGCAACGATGGCTCGATGTTTTGGTGGGGTCCTTCATCTGGACCACTGCTGCTGGCAGCTTCGGGAGTGGCCACGTCAGCGTTCTCGGTGCTTTGCGGTTCTTGATTAATCCATATGAAAGGCGCTAACTTACGTGGGACCCAGTTCTCCTTTTCAGCTAACATCCATGGCAGGCATACACTCTCGCAGTTTGGAAGAACCAGTGTCTCCCGAATGGCTGCCTGCATCAGTGTCAAGCATTATATGATTATTATATTCATTCAACCAATAAAAAAACAGAGGCTTCAAAGAGAGCCATCCATCTGCCAAGAGCTAGCCACGGATCATACGCAAGAAGACTATAACCTTGAATTTATGTAGAAGAGAACAAAATAATGTGAACCATTTGATTCCTTTGTTCAAAGGATGAGAAGTTTATTTTGGAGAAACCAAAAAGAAAAGTGGGCCACTGTGTACTTATACCGGTGCTTTTGAAATGTACGTACATATAGAGACTGAACCTCTTATAATCATGGATAAGGCCCGCTTTTCATGAAAATAGATATGATGTGGTTTTATATTCAAAATTGTCCCTCAAATGGGGCCACAGTGCTGAAAAATTCTTTTTATAAGATAGGCGTGAAGGGTGAACTGCGAAGTGTGAACTGGAAAAAGTAAATAGTTAGAGAGTTGGACATCATTTTGGAGAAGACCAGAAAGTAAGGACTACTAGAAACGAAACATAAATTGGAAATTTTGGGTATCAGGCAAGTGATATACCTTAAGCCGACTAATTAAGAATAAAGCTAAACGTCCACTTGCTATCCTGTGCTCTCCAACAAAAGGCTCCAATTGAAAATCAAGGTCTGGCATAGAAGTGAAGCCAAACCATATTTGATCTGAAGGTGGTGGCCTTATGAATATGCGCATCAATCCTCGGAGAGACGCAACTCTTATTCCCAATGTAAGTGGAACCTTCAACATTGAACATCCAAAAGCGAGATATTTAAAGATTAAGTATCCACTGACATGCAATGTTTAAGTTTGTTATTCAAAAAATCACGATGAAATAGGCTAAAGTTTCTTTCAAACAGGCTTGCACCTGATCTACTGACATTCAGATATTGAAGAATGAAGTATCCACTGAAATGCAATGTTTATGTTTATTTTTGAAACAAACATGATGAAAATAGGTTCAAGTTTCTATGTTACTCATTTCCATTACTTGGTTTTTTTATAATCTGAATTCATTTTCAATGCATGCTTATGGTTATGTGAAGGTCTGATTGAGTTAACACTAAGGACACCACTAACCTTACCACTGTATTGCAAGAGTTCTTCATGATTTAAAACTGCTACACAAACGAACTAATTATCAAGCTTGACTGCTTGAGTAACTCACAAGGCAGTTGGACACAAATCAGTGTTTACAAATTACAACTATTGCAGCTCATCCTCTCCATTATCCACTTATTAGTGATTTCATATATTAGAGCCCAAAAAAAGAATTAAAAAATAACCAAAATGCAAAACAAATTCCCACCTACTTTTGATCATATTTCTCAATAGTCAAGATCACTAGTTCTGGTGTAACTTTGAGTATTTTGAGCAATTATACCTAAAACTAGTTCCTTCTTCAGCCAATGAGGGATTCTTGTGCTCACTCAAAATTTACAAGGCTGTGACAGATTGACAGCATAATGAATTAGCTGGATTATTTAAACCTCCACTAGTCTCTCTGGAAGACTATTAGAACGATTAATGTTATTTCAAGCTCATACAACCGCCTAAACAAGAAATCATTGAATTAAGAATAAATATGTAGAGATGTTCTTAGGTGTTAGCCTGCCAGATACTTTTAGAAGTAATATTGAAATCAAATGAAAATGCCCCTGCTAACCTGTGAAACCTGTTTGGCAATTGATTGCATGATATATTTCCATCTAGAATATTGAGACACTGCACCTGTTGTGCTCTTGGGGTGTGTTAACGAATCTGAAAATTACATGACAAATACACCTCAATTCACCTTGTACTATGACTCGGCAAGAAATGGCATCGCTATAGAAACAAAATATAGATGAAAAATAACATAAACATTACTGACCAAACCGGTGAAAGTTTTTCATGGATGAAAAATACGTATAGTCTCTTGTATTTGTTACTCCCTCGGTCCCGATAAAAGGTTTCACACTTTCTTTCTTTTGTTTGTCCCAACATAAGGTTCCATTTTCCTTTTCAAAAAAATGATTATACGGTTTACATCATTTCTTCTCCTTCGCATAACTCTCAATCAATTAATTTCACCTTTCTTAATAATCATGCATTGTCAAATGTGGAGCCTTCATTTGGAACGGAGGGAGTAAAAAAATGGGTGTGATCCATGTTGAAGAAGATAAAAATACCAGTGTTACCTACCCCCTCTAAGATCTTCATCTCTATGATGATCACAAGCACCAGCTGTCTCCTCGGAATATGTCATGTTTTCTCTGAAGTGTTCAATTCCCTCTAATAAATCAGCTTTTACCTCATCCACAGATCTTGATTCTGCGCTTGGGCCTCCCTCCTGTAACTCAAGATCTTGAACTTCAAGCCTTGTTTCAATTTCAAATATTGCACCACCAGAATACTCAATGTCAATTTCCATCATCCAAACTTCATTCACATTGGAAGGAAGAACTTTCATTGCATGAATATATGGCGGGAGATTACCCATATTAACATCAGTACATATCACTTCACCAATGTATGTGGGGCTTCGCATATTGGATAGGGTTCTCTAACAAAAATAGAACATGTAAATCAGAGTGCTGTGGTTGTTAATTTCCAAAAAAAGAAATATAGTCAAGTACGAAAGAAGTGCTTTTATGAATATGCAAATATGCAACCCCACAACATGCCACAATTAAAGTTTTGAAAGAATTATTTGGGAGGAAATTCTCTGTATTTCTCTCTTGTCTTTACAATTTACAATGAGGACATATATATAGGAGACTCCTAATAAGTAAAGGAAAAGGAAAAAGGAAAGAATCCCTATACAAGGAAAACTACCAAAACTATATACACAAATATCTCCAAATATTCTACCAAATATTCTACCAAATATTCTCTTTCCTTTAACACCCCCCCTCAAGTTGGAGCATGTAGTAACGAAATGCCCAACTTGGGAAGAAGAAACTCCAAACGTGACTGTTAGAGTATATAACAATCATTCCTGGGCCACAACCACAAGCTTGAGCTTTTGGTTGAGTTGGTTCCTTGACATGGTATCGGAGCCTTGATGACCAAGAGGTCACGAGTTCGAAACTCACCGCCACCCAATTTAAAAAAAATAAGGTTTCACGTGCAAGGCTCAAAGAGGTCACGCCTGCACGTGAGGGGGCGTGTTAGAGTATATAACAATCATTCCTGGGCCACAACCACAAGCTTGAGCTTTTGGTTGAGTTGGTTCCTTGACAGTGACTTTCCGAGTGCCTTTGTATGAATGTCTGCAAGCTGATGCGTAGTAGGCACATGAAGTGTACGAATCTCTCCTCGCAAGAGCTCATCACGAACAAAGTGACAATCAATCTCAATGTGCTTCGTGCGTTCGTGGAAAACCGGATTAGCAGCAATGTGAAGTGCTGCCGTGCTGTCACACCGGACCGTCATGGGGTCCTTATGCTCAACCCCTAAACACCGCAAAACATTCTTCAACCACTTCAACTCACATGTAAGGACAGCCAAAGCTCTATACTCTGCTTCAGCAGACGAGCGAGCCACCGTCGATTGCTTCTTTGTTTTCCATGAGACAGGCGAGTCTCCAAGCTGCACAAACCACCCTGTCAATGACCGCCTCGTCAAAGGACATGCTGCCCAGTCCGAATCACACCATCCTGTGAGTTGAAGACTACTCTCTGCTGACAGAAAAATGCCCTGACCTGGACATCCTTTCAAATAACGAACGACTCTAAGGGCCGCAGACCACTGATCCTCCCTTGGTTCCTTCAAAAACTGTGCTAAAGTGTGGACGGCGTAAGAAAGTTCCGGTCGTGTAACGGAGAGATATACCAACCTTCCTACCAACCGTCGATATGGTTCTGGATCTGCAAGGACCGGGGCTTGGGAACGAGCCAAGTGATGATTTGGCTCCATCGGGGCACCCAACGGCCTGGCACCTAACAACCCCGCCTCAGTGATGATGTCTAAGGCATACTTTCGTTGGCAGAGAAAAATCCCAGACGTGCTCCTCGCCACCTCAATGCCAAGAAAGTATTTCAGTGTTCCCAAGTCCTTCATATGAAAACAATCTCCGAGATAGGCTTTTAACTTGCTTACCATCTCTGTATTATCTCCAGCAATAATCAAATCGTCAACATAAACCAAAACATGTATCACTCCTTTCTTTTCAACAAAAGAAAATAAGGAGTAATCAGCAACAGATTGAACAAACCCATAGCGTTTTAAGGCTCCAGACAACTTGGCAAACCAACACCTTGGAGCTTGCTTTAAGCCATACAGAGATTTCTTGAGTTTGCACACCACATTAGACGAATTTGAGAAACCAGGTGGCAATCTCATATACACCTCATCCTGAAGATCTCCGTGTAGAAATGCATTGTGAACATCCATCTGATGCAATTCCCACCCCTTAACTGCTACAATTGCTAAAAGCGTTCTCACAGTGGTCAACTTGACTACAGGAGCAAATGTTTCTTCGTAGTCAAGTCCTTCGACCTGATGATTGTCAAGTATAACAAGTCTGGCCTTATATCTCTCTACACTTCCATCAGACTTGCGCTTGATCTTATATACCCATTTGCAACCAAGGGGCTTTTTATGGCGTGCAGGAAAGACAAGAGACCACGTCCCATTAGCCTCCAGTGCATCAATCTCCTCTCTCATAGCCTTCCTCCATCGTTCATCCTGGAATGCCTTCTTGAAACTTGTGAGCTCCACTCCAGCATCAAGAGCGCTGAGAAAACACTTGTATCTGACAGAGAACTTCTCGTGTGTGACATACGAGGCAAGAGAATATTTGCATTTTTCACCAACATGTGAACCAGCTACATGGGTAACATAATCGGCAAGGCGTACATTTGGACGTTTCTCACGTTGACCACGTCCCAAGTTCTCCACCGCCTACTGGGAAGAGGACGGTCGACTGCCGTCCGTGGAACGGTCCACGGGGTCGACCGTCTGAAGCTGTTCTGGATTGCTAACTTTCTGCCTTGGAGACGATCGACCGTCTTGCACATCACGGTCGACCGTTTGATCATCTCCCAACGAAACGTCATTCTGCCTCGCGGACGGTCGACCGTGGATATCAGAACGGTCCACCAGGTCGACCGTTTGGTCATCTCTCAGGAACCCGTCATTCTGCCTCTCGGACGGTCGACCGTGGACAACCGAACGGTTTATCCGGTCGACTGTCTGTAGCCTGTCTGCTTCACCGCTTTCCTCTGGTCGACCGTCTCTCCTGGAACGGTCCATCCGTTCTTCTGTCCGCAGTTCTTCATTTTCATCATAAGAGCTAACTTATTTGTATTTATTGTATCAAGAGATGCACCTCAAGAAAGGGAAAATATCTTCACAGAACACAACATCCCGGGACACCTTAATTTCCCCAGTGTCCGGGTAGTAAATACGCCATCCCTTGCGGATATCCATCAAATATTCCAGGATTGCTTCTTGCTGCGAATTTATCTCCATTCCTCTTCAAGTTATGAGCATAACATCTGCATCCAAAAACACGAATACATGCCAAAGAAGGTGGCTTTTCATAGATCTTCTCGTATGGTGTGACCCCCCCTAGCAAAGACGAAGGTGTGCGATTGATCAAATGTGCGGCGGTCTGTATACACTCTCCCCAGAACTCAATCCTAAGACTAGCCTGAAACCTCAAAGCCCGATCCACATTCAAAATGTGTCGGTGCTTGTGTTCTACTATAGCACCGCCGCTATAGTAGTTCAAAATGTGTTCTACTATTCAAAATGTGTCGGTGCTTATTTGTATTTCTTGTATCAAGAGATGCACCTGTAGGAGTCAAGAAAGGGAAAATATCTTCACAGAACACAACATCCCGGGACACCTTAATTTCCCCAGTGTCCGGGTAGTAAATACGCCATCCCTTCTTCCCTTGCGGATATCCATCAAATATTCCAGGATTGCTTCTTGCTGTGAATTTATCTCCATTCCTCTTCAAGTTATGAGCAAAACATCTGCATCCAAAAACACGAATATGAGCCAAAGAAGGTGGCTTTTCATAGATCTTCTCGTATGGTGTGACCCCCCTAGCAAAGACGAAGGTGTGCGATTGATCAAATGTGCGGCGGTCTGTATACACTCTCCCCAGAACTCAATCCGAAGACTAGCCTGAAACCTCAAAGCCCGATCCACATTCAAAATTGTCGCTCTACCATAGCACAGAATTGTTTAAAAACAGTGCCAACCTTGTGTTTGGAATCAAGCAAATGTACCCAAACACCTCTTGAAAAATCATCCACAATGGTCAAGAACATTGTAGAACCATCAAAACTTGGAGTCCTATACGGTCCCCATAAATCACAGTGTATCATATCAAATTTATCAGCAAATTGATAAAAACTTATAGGAAAGCTCCCACGAGTCTGTTTAGCACGCAAACAAATGTCACAACAACTGTGACTACTCTTACTTGTTCCAACTCCAGGAACAAGAGACAAAACATGAGAGGAAGGATGTCCAAGTCGTTTGTGCCAAAGATCAAACTTACTCTCCTTCTTCGCACTGCACACCATCTTCTTTTCAGGCTCCTTGAAGTAATAAAGTCCTCCTTCCTGCTCACCCATACCAACTTCTGTCTTTAAATACAAATCCTGTAGTATACACTTATCGTTGGCAAAACGTGCCTCACAGTTCGAATCCCTTGTCAATTGTGACACAGAGATTAAATGGCAACTCAAAGTGGGAACATATAGGACATCGTGCAGAAGTAATGTTTCTGTTAATTTAATCTTCCCAGATTGTACAGAAATAATTCTTTTCCCATTGGGCAAACCAATCTCACATGGTGATATTCCCACGATGTCATGCAATAACGAAATATCACTAGTCATATGATTTGATGCCCCAATATCTATAATCCAACGCGGTGACACAGGAATACCTGAAAGCTTCACACTGGAAACACACGATGATAGGGAGAAAAACATCTTCCTTGGTTGTTCATCGGCCATGGCAGTAGCAGAGTGGCGTACGGCGGTGGCAGAAGAATCAACAGCAGCATCTATCACACAATCTGCCGACGAGAAGGTCGACGTGCTCGACCGTTCAAGAGCAACGGTCGACCGTTCCGTTGTCCGGCAACAACAACAACAAACGACTGAAACTGAGCAACGATCGATGGACGCCATGCCGGGCGATCGTGAACAGTAGTCGCTGAAAAACTCTAGGGTTTTGGCTTTGATACCATGAAAGAATTATTTGGGAGGAAATTCTCTGTATTTCTCTCTTGTCTTTACAATTTACAATGAGGACATATATATAGGAGACTCCTAATAAGTAAAGGAAAAGGAAAAAGGAAAGAATCCCTATACAAGGAAAACTACCAAAACTATATACACAAATATCTCCAAATATTCTACCAAATATTCTACCAAATATTCTCTTTCCTTTAACAGTGGTGACTTATTTTTAAGGAATAAGTGCTTTTTAGAGGAAGAAAAGTCCCCTCACTTATAGAAGTGTTTAACAAGAAAAATGCTTTTAACAGTATATAACACTTTTACTGCTTATTTAACAACGCAGCAGATTGGTGATTAAAAAGTCACTTTAAATGCTTAAACTAAGAAGCATTTGTGATAAAAGCATGTATAACATATGTTATCCCAAACAAGCTCTATAGCTTGACTAATGCGCAGAAATTAAGAATGCAAAGTACAAGGCACCCACATCATGCAAGGTCCATGAAGAGATAGGAGGCACAGAACATAACCTCTGGTTTTTAAAGTCAAATGAAAAAATCCTAACCTTGCTGAAATCAAATTACAAATACTCACTTCATTACCAGGACAGGAAGAAAACTTTCACGGTTTCATACTTTTAAAACAAGGGTATGAAGTGGCTAGACTTCTCAAGTTTCTATGTTATGCAAACAATAAGTTTAAGCCTAACATATGGAACCGAGATTTATAATTGCTCCAGTATCCAACTATGGAGTAGGGACTATGACAAAGTCGAAAAACACTACACTACTTAGTAGTTAACATGTATATAGGGTTAAACATTCATGTCTCCTTTTTAATTTGATAGATAGAAAGCATTTATAGCCAGTTTTAATAAGTGAAAGAACACTATTTGATTGAAATGTACAACAAAGATAGCCTCCTTCTAGCACACTTAAATCCTAACATACCTGGATTCGAGCTAGTAAGGATGTTCTCATCTCTGCATTCTGTTTAGCATCAAAAAATAAACGTGATATTAATAAATTCCAACATAGAGTTCCATCATTTGATGCTTTATCATCTGAATCTGCATCAGAAATTACAGCCACGTGATTTCTGCACACTGATCCATTTAATGTTGGTAGTGATGAAGGGACCATAATTTCCTCAGTGGAACAACCAATAGATTTTTCGATTGGAAGTTCGCGACTTGATTTTAAGACCAAGTTTGCCTTATTTTCTAGGCCACTCTTAGAAGCTTTTTTGGAAAGTTTCCGCAGAAAATTCCGAACCTTGGATGAAGAGATATCAACCTTGTTTGACTTGTTATCTGAAGGCTCGATGCTTACATCATGTGGAAATTGTTTTAAAAATGAAGAAGGATACACAGCAGTCAGTAACATCATATAGTTTTGGAACTCAGTGTACAAATTGCTGAACCACTTCAGCTTCTCAGCATCCTCACATGTAGCAATATATAAGGCTTTACACCAGGATTCCTTCTCCCAAGATGTCTCAAGATATATGTATATTATTTTACTTCCTTTGTATACCGTTGATGATTTGCTTTCTATTTTTATTGGGTACCTCTTTGCCCTGTATAATTGCAGATAAAATAAATGGATACCAAAACTGAAATATATCTGGTTTGATGAAAAGAGCTAAAGTAAATGGTTCGAGGTCAAATTGAAAAGATTATGAGATGTATGCATAGAATCTAAGTGAAAGAGAGAACATAAAGACTTTCGTTACATACATAAGCACCGTGTCTTGGTGAAATACAGTTGGGTATGGAGCTGAGGCTCAAAGTAACAGAGTTTATTCACTTTTGAATGGAAGGTTTCCAATTACATCATGAACTTTGGGTTTCCATCCTCTGCTCTTTTGGTACAACTCATGCACATGACATTTGCTTATTTGTCTCATGGCAAAACCAGAACTCCGTGATCACCATTTCGAATTAGCAAATGAAGGCTATAGAGCAGATACAATGATGTGTATACAAAAATTTTATGCATGTCTTGCCAGAATCAGAAAGTTTATGTTCAACAAACAGAACATTTAGCTAATACTATGGATGTATGTGCACAGATTTTTGTGCACAGTCCCAGCACTGGAAGGTGGCTTTAGAAACCCAACCAAGTCTAGCTTATGACTGAACTAAGGGAGTAATAGCCAAGCCGTGTGCCCACACACACCCACAGAGAGATTTGTAAAATGAGAGAAAGAGAAAGCAATGCCTTTATAAAACAACAAACCCAGGTACACAACCTTATCTGTGTAAAAAATAAAAAATAAAAACTTAGAGGTACACAACCTTATCTGTGTAAAAGACATAGAGGTTGTTTCCGTTAGACTTGTGATACAATGAAACCTCATTAAAAGCAAGGGAAGTTTAACGTGTAATTTTGATTTAGCCCACTGTATATCCATAGCTAAAAGCCTAAAACATGATCAAAATTGACTTTTTTAGCTTCACAAAAAAAGGTACTCAATACATCTATGGAGTAATGTATATTTTTGATACCCAACTAAAACAATGACCAGTGACACATTGGCAGCCACAAATAAGGGCAGGCATAAATAACATCATCCATATATGTGTGCTTTCTGAAACTGATAAGCAATCTCTGTAGTCCAACCCAAAGACTTGATTACCCTTTTGTGAAGCAATAAACAATGTCATTTGTGCCATCTCTGATAATATAAATTCACCTACAACAAGGGAAAGAGGAACCAAATCTCATGCAACACTGGTACGTGGTATGTGCCATCATAGCTGGCATCAACCAAAGTCTGAAAGAACTTAATGTGCAGTTTAATGAGTGGACAAAGTAGATAGATGAGATAGGAATGCAAAGTACAAAAAAGACGGGATGACAGTTCAAGAAAGTATGTATGGGATATGGATTACAAGTAGAGCAGGATGACACTAGGACAAGCAACGGATTTTGAAAAGAAAAAAAAACTGATCAGAGAAGAAGGTGGCATGTAGAGGGCAGTGTGTAGAGGAGAGGACAGTGCAATGCCTCCGAGTGATGGAGAGTACAAGACATGGGTGAATGAGATACCGAGATAGAAATGCATCGTTGTAGGGAGTGATGACAACCGACCAATGGAAAGCAGGATCTTGACCACAAAACAAAAATGACACTACTTCAATTCGACAGAATCCTAATCATATTCAAACATTTAGGGAGTCAATTTTAAATAGATCACACAGGGTTTAATTCACTTGCACCCCTAAGATGAACCTTATCAAGGTCCATTCATGTTTCCAAGATGGCAGGCTAGGCAGCTCAATGGTGGACCAAACTAGAGAAAGAGCATCAGAACTCAATAAGATCAGAATGGTTTTCTCTGCATAACAAGCCATGTTTCAGATTAAAGGTATCCAGTACAAACTACAAAGATAAAGATGCAGTGGAGGATGGCAGTCAAACAGTAGTATAGATGGGGTCATGGATGCAGAGTGAGTTTCTGTGAGATTCAAAATCACGACCACACCAACGCCTTAATCCCAAGTCACACCTAGAGTATCAATTAATTATTTAAAACTAGAAAAACCATGCAAAAAAGCACAGTATCAAGGTCTTATCTTGAATGCCCTCCCTGTTGCAATCTCTAAAAGGGTAAATAATGAGATAAATTTGCAAGACTGTCATCATCATAGGTTAATACACTTGCATGCAACAAAAAAGTGGAATTTCTGTGAGATTGTGTTTATTAACTTCTTAGTTACCATTTTCTTGAGGGAAAATCTGATGCAGATACAGCTTCTATTGTACAACCAGTAAGTTCAATTTCCGTGGAAGAAGAATCTGATTCTACTAAAAAGAGAGAATGGTTCTTTAAATTTGCATATTTCTTTATAGGTGTGACCTCCAAGATATCCTTCTTTGCCTTTTGCTGTCTCGGAGCTTTGTCAATAGGAGAAGTTCTTGGAATGCTGTCTGCATCTAGAACCCACACAAAGCCCTAAAAACAGTATAGAAAAATATAGGCAACCATCAACATAAGAAAAAAGCTACTTGAATGAACATATGTGAAAATTCAAGTTCTTTTTGTTGATGCTAGCAGTTTGATGTTTTCTGTGTAATCATCTACAATATTAATCATTTGGAATGCTTATGCAAATGAGATGACAGTTACAAGCAGTCTCTCCTTATAGGTTTCATTCCACATAGAAATTAGTTGTGACCCCACACGTGTGATATCAATGATAGTGTGATTGTATAGAGATGCTTTGGAATTAAATCAATTAATGCTGTACCAATTCCTATATCAATGTGACCTGAAGATGAACATTTTAGCAAAACATGTATGTTTACATCATGATACAAGCTAAGATGCGTAGCTATTAGAAAATGAGACCAATTAAGCATTAAAGAATAAAATGAAAGGAGAGATGTTATCGAAATTAAAAAAAAATGTAAGGCATGCACCAAGAACCACTGTCCACTTATACAGCATACTATATATTCAATGTTTTATACGGAGTATTATAAGAAATGATTCTAAATAAGACCATATAAGCTTTTCCCTAGATAAGACTATTGATTCCATTTTACCCGTGAACTATTAAATGCATTCTGTATAACTAAGTTCTTCATCCAACAACTCCCCATCCCAGCTCTTGGACAAGATTTTGTAACAAGTGACACGTATTGAAGAACGTGAAAGTAAAAAAGGAGGAAAATGATGGAAGGACAAAAGTGTTATCGTACACCCGTTGGGAGCGGCATGTGGCATGTGTGGGGGCAAAACGAAGCCGAGAGGTGTTGTTGGAATTTTTTAGAGAGAGGATGATGCAGGTTGTGTGGCACAATGTAAGAAGGTCTTTGGCCATTTATTTTTCCAGCTAGAAGACATGACAAGGAGATGGGTCTGGTGGTGGCTAGTGTTTGATTTTGAAATTGAATGTCATAGCCAAAGAAAGCACACATTGGATAAAGTGGATTATTTCTGACAGAAATCTACTCTTCAGGACAAAAAAGATTGTTCAACGTATAAATGAATTGGCTAGCCATATTATGTAGAAAATTAAGACATTAGAAGAGTGGCGGGTGGCGGTAATAGGCTGCCACATGCTACATATCAGAATCAAAATAAAAGAAACTAGTATTGCACTCTGTATTACATAAGATATTTGCATTGATAATTGATTACAATAAATCATTCAAGCACCCATTATATAGGTCTATAAGAGAGCTAAGGAAGATGCGAGGGTTTTTAAAGTGAGTCGGAAGGTGGTATGAGAGTGTTGCGAAAAATATTGATCTATTTGTGGCTCTGGGAAATCGTGGGAATCCCATTTTCCCCTAATGATAACGTGGAAGAAAATGCTAGGATTGTTAGCACCATTGCGCCAAACTTCCAACATGATGACGACAAAGACGCTCGTCAGAGATGCCACCACTACCACGGCAAGGTTTGATCTACCCATCGTGTGTGACTGTCCTCTATGCATTGATCTGTCTTCTAGCTCTAGAGATGGAAAATTTTTGTTAGAACAAATTATTTGGTTTTCTTGAAGTGTGCTCCACGATGCAATAAACTTTGACTTGCCTAAGTACATCGATCTATGATCTCACTCTACTGATGCAACATTTTTTGTTGAAAATGAATTATTTGGTTTGGTAGAAGTGTGCTCCTACGACCTATTTGGATTTATTTGGTTTTGCCAAAGAGTAGTATTTGTATTTCTTAAAGGAGGTACTTGGACACAGTTTGATTTTAATATGAAATAATTTGATTTGTTGGAGCTAAAAGAGTAATTATTTAGCTTCACATTGCAATAATGCATCATGGCCTCAAGGGCATAACAAAAATAGTCTAACAAAGCCTACAAAGGTATGGTTGAGTACATCTTAACCCTCACCCCCCCCCCCACCCCACCAAAAAACAAGTTCCAACAAAGTTGGGATTACATTGGGTTTTGTAATTGCCCTGAGGACCTAAGGTGGTGCAATGCGTGGTAAGCAGGTGGAAGTGAAAAATATTATTTTAGTGCCATATGCTTGGGACTTGGGTTGTAGAGTAAGTTGGCAAATTATATCATGATTGGTGTCTCCAAAACATTGACATGGTTTTAGCCATCTTTGCATGTTCCTTCATCCTTATGTTTTAAAATTGTTATCATTTTTGGTTGTGTTGAACTGACATGATATATATGCCTAAACAATAACATGATTCCTGTGTTTTATCAATGTCATGAGTAAGTGTTCTAACATAGTCGTGATTCTTGTATCCAATGTTAGCATCTTTTGAGTTTGACCACTCTGGTTCTTCTTATGTTGTAACACTGATAGTTTTGGTTGTTTAGCAACGTCATGATATTCTGTTATAGGGCCAACACGATTCGTGTCATGTAACATTGTCATTATTCTACTATTCTAACAATGGCATGATGCTTTGTGTTCTAGCACTAACATCATTTGTGCAGTACAGCACTACTATGAGTATGGGTTCCAAAGGGCTCATAGTTGTGTCAAAGAATAAGGTGGATCTTATAAAGCTTACATGTTTTTTTAGTTCTATGACTTCTATCATTATCATGATTCTTGTGTTGTAAAAATGTAATTATTCTAGTGTTTTGGCAATGGCATGCTTCTTTGTATTCTAACACTTGCATCATTTGTGTATTCTAATAATACCATGATTGTGTTTTCCAAACCTCCAACATTTTTCTGTCACAAGTCATAACGCTATCACAACGTTGAATTTATTTCATTTTCAAATAGTGATGGTTTTTGTAACTACTCCATTTTTTTAACTATTACAGGGTGGCAATGTCAATAAGGCAGAATAAGGCAATGGCAATGCTCGGCAGACTAAATAAGGCACTGGGGGATGGAATTCAATGGTGGTGGCATAACTATAGTGGTGTGACCACAATCCGGTGGTGGTGGGCGAAATCCTTTGATTGCATGTTGAAGTCTTTACATTGGTGGATGATAGTTGTGATTTAATTTTTTTGTTTAATTACAAAAATGAGTATATTAATAATATGTGAATGAACAAAATTATGTCTCTTTCCAATTTGTAATTATATAATTATATTTGTGTAGAAGAGCTTGTTTACTATTTTAGTACTCTAGCCGTCCTATCTAGGTATAGCTCCCTTTGAATACTTATGTGAATGAATTGATTGCATGTTTGTATGAATTAAATAAGCAAAAGGTAGCAATGGGGTGGTCCTCGTATAATACAATGACCAAATCATAAGCCCATATAAGAATCAATTTATTCCTAATAGTTAAGCAAAAAATGGAACCAAAGTGTATACAAACAAACACTTTGATTACCTAGATGGATAGTGATCAACTAGCATCCATGGGTATATGTCACCTTGAAAGCTCATTTCCCCACACTTCCTCACAATGAAAGGACATTGTTTGGACTTGGAAGAAACATCAAAAGAGAATACTAGCTAAGTTCATCCTCTCCCAATCTTCCACTTCTAAGTTCCAACTCTTACACATTTGTTTCTAAATGAAAGGGGACTACTAGCTAAGTGTATGGACAAAGCATCCTTAGACTTCCCATCATCGATACATTCCTTTATTTTCACATCAACCACTTAAAACAAAAAGGGGCCACACCACATTATGGTCAAGATGTCAAGTGCCTAATTGCTTAATAACATTAGATGAGCCTACACACAAACTTATACGTAGACTTGGAAAATAGCTCATTCCTTGAAAGATTCCCAACCTCCACGGCAAGAAATGGGCACTTGTACTGTCAATTTCATAAAAACCTTGAAACGAAGGCCTATTCTCTACAGGTCTAGCATCAATTCATGGAGTAAAAACACTGAAACAATGTGGAATTGGGGCAGAATAATTTCAAATTGCAATAAACAAAGAAAAACCCCATAATGCAAAAAGAGATAGCGAAGTGACCTGCCTGCTTTCTGCATAATGAAGGATAGATATTCCCACGGCTTGATAGCTCTCCGTAGATCTTTGATCTAGCCACTTCATCGGCCACCCTCCTATTCAGCCATCGCATCAAGATGGCCAGCCCTACTGCCTCCGCCCCGACCACCGTCAGTGCCCCCAGAAAGAACACTAACACCACCACCCACATCTTCGCGGCTTTCCCCGCCGCTACAGCCTCAGGATTTCTCCGGAAGTAACCATTCCCGGCTGTTCCAAGTCCGAGTAAGAATATCGATCGGTGAATGAGATTTCAGGCCGCCGTAATCGTATGATCAAGAGAGCGCGATTTCTTCGCGTTAGAAGGTAACTAACAAACTGTGGCTCTATTTGGTATTCAATTTTGAAATCAAATCAACATGCAGAACCAAAATGAGAATACAAAATTGAATTTTAACGAATTTTTTTAGATTTCGAAAATACGTGGATATTCAATTTAGACTTTAAAAAGAAATTTAAAATCTAGATATATTGAATTTAAAATTTTAAAAAACTTTTCTATATCTAAAGGTATTCCAAAAATTGATAGATTTTTAAAGATTTTAAAAATTTTGATTTTGATGGATTTTTAAGTCTTGAGTATAAATACCATAGTTTTCAGAATCGAACTAGTGATTGAACCGGTCAAGGCATTGGTTCACTGGTTTACTGGTCGAACTAGTGATTCGAGTGGTTGAACCTGTGGTTCAAACATCTTTAATATATATATATATATATATATGTATATGTATGTGTGTGTGTGTGTGTGTATGTATGTATGTGTGTGTGTGTGTGTGTGTGTGTGTGTGTATAGACACGTTGTGACATTGAATTAAAAAAAACCAATATATGAGTAAACAAAAAATCTTTCCTCTATTAATAAATAAATAATTGATGTTTGACAAAATTTATAATTTACTTAATTTAGTTAAGTTGTGTCATCACATATTTTAAAATGCTTATAAATAAAAAGTGATTTGATTTTTCTGAAACATTTTACCTAGTATTTAATATACATACATACATACATACATACATACATACATACATATATATATATATATAATATTTGTGTGAGATGCACTTCATCTCAATTATATAAATGTGTTTTGAATTTTAGTTTAAAAAAATCTCTATATTTTTTAAAGAATTTGATAAAGAATTTTGTAGTTAAAGAATATTTAAAAGGAATATAATAGCAAGGAATCAACACCAAGCATTGTAGCAGAGATGGTTTGATGCTAGCTCTATACGGCCTTGAGGTCTTGGGTTCAAATATGGGCTTGTGCTTTTTTTAAAAAGTTTGCAAAAAATTGAAAAACCGGTTCCGGGCAAAAACCGGCCGATTTTCTCCAGTTATAACCGGTTTCTACTGGTTCAATGCTGGAGCCGATCTGATTGTTCGGACCGGACCGATTTGATGAGCGGTTCATCGGTTTCCAGTCTGAACCGTCCGGTCTGATCCGGTTTTTAAAACTATGATAAATAAAATCCTTTGAATTTCGCTGCGCCGCGACGAACTTACTCGGAGTTGTCATTTTTATCTTTTTTTTCCCTGCACATATCTCTATATTTCTTTCTACAAAATCTCTCAATGTGACCTGGCTTCTAACAATAATAATAATGGCAAATGAAATCTCTTTTTCTGGAGTTGGATCTCCCTTTGAACTTGTCTCTGTAGTGAGAATTTCTACTCTTACTTCTCCCCCTGCTAGATTCTGGAATCACATTTGATTCGGCTGGACTAGGGTAACCCGATTCTTTCCTTTTAGTCTCTTCCTTAAGGAGACTAGCCTTGACCAGCTCCATAGCCATCTTGCCAACTGGAGCAGAGTTGCTAAGTGAAACCACCAATGTGTCCCAACTGTCGGCCAATGAGGAAAGCAACAAGAAAGCTTGAAGTTCATCATCCAATTTCATTTTCATTCTAGCTAGTTAGTTTACCGCACCTTGAAACTCATTCATGTGAACCACAATGCTATAACTATCTTTGTATTACAATTTAACAAGCTTCTTAATCAAAGAAGCTATTCACATAGCATTGCTCGTCTCGTACATGGATTCAAGTTTCTTCCACATCTCAAAAATATTAGTTTCATTAGCAACATATTGTAATACACTTAGGGGCTGTTTGTTTCAGCCTCTTAATGGTTCAGATGTCTGAATGGTTCAGCACTTAATGGTTCAGACTGTTTGTTTCAGCCTCTTAATGGTTCAGAAGTCTGAATGGTTAAGAGATTTGCCTTTGAATGGTTAAGTATTATACAGAGTCTGAATGGTTAATACCTCTTATCTGAATTGATCAGACATTTGCCTCTGAATAGTTAAGAAATATACTAGCTCTTAATGGTTCAGACCTCTTACTGGTTCAGCACTTAATGGTTCAGACCTCTTACTAGTTCAGCACTTAATGGTTCAGACCTCTTACTGATTCAGCACTTACCCATTCAGAAGTTGCCAAACAGCCCCTTAAAGAAATATATCGTCTCTATGATCCAACAGCTTTCTATTTCAAGATAGTCCAAGCTTTCTCATCAACAATTGTTGGACGTTCTTTATATAAAATTGGGTTAAGCAAATATTTAGAGCATAAATAATCCTCAATACAAATGTTCCAAATTGAATAATTTGTAGAGTCCAAACTAATTATTTCTTGAAAAAATACTTTGTCATCCATCATAAACAACACAAGAAGCCAACAAAAAAAAATAGGCTCTGATACCATTTTGTGGGGGAAGCACGGAGCAAAACACAACGAAAGCGAATAAAATCTTTTCCCCAAATAAATGAAATGAACAACAAAGTACAATATACTCCCAAAATCTGTAGCACCAAAACATATAAATAGCAACGAAAATAAATAAAGAACACAAGATTTACGTGGAAACCCTAAATTGGGGAGAAAGCCTCGACCGTTCAACAACGGCACCGAAACATCCACTAATCACAAAGAACCAAGTGGGTACAATAAGCTATCATCTCTAGTAAAAATTAGAGGCAAACACAATCATCAAAGAGCAACCTTAGAACAACAACATTCAACAATTAACCAAAAATGGAGTAAAAACTCTAACAAAACACATGTGTGATGAGAACTTTATATGTAAACTAATACTCCCTCCATTCCCTAGTTTTTGTCCACTTTTGACTTTTGGAACTGTTTATCTAAGCACTTTGACTTATTAAATTCTCTCAATGTGTAAGCCTAAATATAGTCATGTGTGATCTTGTTTGATTTGTCTTAACATATAAAATATTAATATATAATTTCTATACTTTTTTAATATACAAATTACAAGATAAAATGGATTAAAAAAGTGTATTGGATGGTGTGTAAAAATGAAAGTGAACAAATAATCTGGGACGGAGGGAGTACAAAAGGAAAGAAATCAATGAACAAGGAAAAACTACCAAAATAATATTTACAAGAATATATGAAAATATATTCTTTTCTTTTTTAACAAATAACATATACTAAAATTTGAGCACAACCAAACTTAATTGGACCTTCGATCTGGATAGAAAACTAGGTTCTCTACTTCATTTTCTGTGTGGCTACTACCTTTTCCCCTTATCTCTATTTTTTGGTTTTGGTAGCCACACACAAGAGATTAAATGGACCACCATCAAAATAATACATTTGGGCTAATGTTCTAAATACAAAAAAATGAGTCTACACGATAAAATGCGGCAAAAATAAATAGTTTTAGATACATCTCAGAGCACTCGTAATGGTCATGAAGCCCGGGGCTTTGGGGCTTCAAACTTTCTCTCTCTGCCACATCAGCTTTAACTTACACCCAAAATTCACTGGAAATGGTTTTGAAGCCCCGAGGCTTCAAACTGAGGCTTCAAACCTTCATTTTTTACATTTTTAAATATACATCTTCTAAAATTAAATTAATAAAATGTAATTAATTTATTATTTAATTAAATTGAAAAAGCGACAATAATTTAAAAAAATATACATTAATAAAAAAACTAAGGTAAATTATATTTCTCCTTGATCTCTCTCATTCTTTGCTCGTAGATCATTCGTCCAAACTCCGGCAACGTCGCGGGGTCGGTTTGCATGACTTTCATCTCGGCCTCCTGCTCCTTTAGCTTCAACGCCTTCTCCTTTAGCTTCAACCTCTCTTGTTCTTGGAGATTGAACGCCCGAAGTTGTTCAATCATTGCCCGGTCGATTTCGTCGCGGGGAGAAGCGGAAACAGAGGCGGACCCTCCCGAACCAGAGGCAATGGATTTTGCCTTCTTTCTTCCGTACCTTTAAAAATGTATTACACAATTTTTTTAGACACCATTAAATATAATATATATGAATAAAAACATAAATATATTAGAAAAAATAAATTTTTTACCAATGATAGGATGCTCGGAGACGTCAACCCAAGCCGACGCCAATATGCACTCCTCCTCCGGGGACCACTTTTGGATTGACCGTGCCGCCTCGGTCAACGTGCTTTGGGCTTTGTGGCTTTTTCGGCGTGTACTTTTTTTCGATCCGGACGGTTCCGGTTGAGTCTCTGGAACCGAATCTCGGTCGACGTACCCCGATTGTTGCGTCTCGTAGATCGGTGGTCGATCATCCCACACTTGGTAGAACCACATTGCAGCGTCCTCGGCGGGAGATCGTCAGGAAAGAAGCCAGAGCCGGAAGGATTCATGTTGAAAATTGGGAGGGTGTAATTTCGAAATTTAAAATTTGGGAAGAAGAAGAGATTGAAGATGGAGAAGATGTGAGAGATTGGTTTGGGGGAGTTGAATTTATAAGAATTTTTTTTTGAATTTTGGGCTGCAACGGCTAAAAAAGCCGTTAGGGGGAGGGGGAGGGGGAGACGAATGACGGAGCGTCATTCGTTTGACGCAGGGGCGATCACGCCCGATCACGCCGAAGGGGGGCGGTGTTTAACGCTGCCGGGGCGTTAAATGCCCCCTCACGCCAGCGGGCGTTACACCCGTTACTAGTGCTCTCATAGTCATGATCAAAGTGGGTAAAACATCATCTTTTTTAAAATCATTTTTTAATGCTACGAGAATATTTTATTTGAACAAATGATGTGGTAAAGTTAAGTTTTTGCAAGTGTGAGTAGGTAAAATTGAAAGGACCATGCTACACTTACACCAACAAATATACCACATTTGTACACCACAGGTTTGGACAAACATTTCGATGGTTTACACTGACGCAGGTGTTGGTGCGTTAACAAAAATTCACACAGACACAAATGTTGGTGCGTTTAACAAAAAATAATTTTACAACAACATAAAATGTTGGTGCAAAACTGCGGGTACAAATTGGGGTACAAATATTAGAATACACATGCCATGATCCAAATTGAAATGATCTCATTCTTCAAAGGTTTGCCCGAGTAAACAACCAAAGACGTAAATAGTAATCCTACCTTTTACATTGTGATTTTGGGACTTGGGAGTATGAATCTCCTAAACTCGCCTCTAGTTTCCATCGCAGCAGGCCTGTGCAACAAGCATTTCATTTAGTGGCGGAGTGGTGGAAGTGCGAAATGGGTACTGGACGATGGGCTTTTGTAATGTTGCTAGTAGGGGTTTTCGTGCTTCATGGGTTGGCTATCCTCTTATTCACCCATGGCTTCCTCCTCACCCGCACCGAGCTTTCTCAATACAGCCAGTGCTCTGATGTCCACCGCTCTCCCTGCTTCCCACCCCCTTCTTCATTTCTCAATAAACACGAAGAAGAAGAAGAAGCGAAACATTCTCTTCGTGTCAATCATGGAAGTAGAAGTTGTTGGACCCAGCAATCCGTTGATCGCCTTGTTATCATTGTTCTTGATGCTCTCAGGTAATAATAATGTCATATTTCAGTTTCTGTCACTGTTCCAAATGGTGTTTCCCCCCTTTTTCAATTTTTAGATTAGTCCCTCTGCCCACAGAAAAGAAAATGTTCGATTTGGCAAGAAACCCAGATTTAGGGAAGTGTATTTCATGCACTTGAGTGAATTTGACTGCATTCTGCAACAAAGCCAGGCTATTGTGTACACAATAGCACCCTTGCTAACGGATAGGTGACTTCCATTAGAACTTTGGTTTCTTTTCTTAAATTTTACATCACAAATGAGAGTACTTACATATAAATATTTTATCTTCATTTATTAATCAAGAGACACAAGTATGTTTTTTCTATAAAACAATAAATGAAGTTGATTTTTTTTGGAAGAGGTCAATTTTTGTTGGTTTTTTTCCATTTTCGAATGGAGTAACATACATAGTGAGAGTTAGAGACATGACCTCACTGTATAGGGAGGATAGTTCTCAAGGGACATAGGGAGTATATGGATTTAGTATAGTGTAGATGTTTACTTGGCTAATTCGGAATTAACAATTTTAAATCTTTATAATAGGTTTGACTTTGTTGCTCCCAGCACATTTTTTCAAGGTATGCTCCTATCAGTCTGCACTTGCTGTAATACGTAGAAATTTAAGATGATGATTCTTGGTAGTTGGTACTAGTACCTTTAAATTCCACTACTCAGTTTGTCATTCAGCGATGCATTACTCAATAGTTGCTTCACTCTTGAGTCTCAGTCATGGCAATTACTAAAATATCTGCTGTCCTCTTTTTTTCTTTCTATTAAATATTTTCTTTTAAAAGTTTTACGTATGATTTAGAGAAAAAACCATGGATGGACAAGTTGCAGATATTGCATAAGCTCGCCACTCGGCCAGGAACATCTGCAAGGATCTTCAAAGCTATAGCAGATCCACCTACCACCAGCTTGCAACGTCTAAAAGTAACTATTTTCTCTCCATAATTACTCCAAAATGCCTATGGTCCTCAGGTCCCATTCAGCACTGTGACATTAGTAGTTAAATTGTGTTTATCAGTATATGAATTTAGAGCATGCATATCCTTTCTGTTTAAGAATTATGCATACAAAAAGGTTATTCTTGTGTGCTATATTAGTTGTGTTTCATTGCTATGCTTTAGATTTGGACTTAGTTTCCTAATACTCCGTCCCATGTTGGATGCCTAGCTTGTATAACAAGGCTTAATTGATGTTTTTTTCAACTTAGTTATTTGCTTAATTTAATTTCATGTTTTTATTCTAAAAGAGTCATTTTGACAATGTTTTAGCTTCCAGTAAATAATGGACTAAATTAAAGTGGCATATTAAGTTTCCCTTGATTCTTACTTTCTATGATGTTTTGGGAAGTGGATGCATTGATGCATCAAGGGTCAAACGGAAACAAGCTCTCTCTCTTTTTTTTTACATGGCTAAGGTTGTGTAGATCTTGAACTCCAAAAACGTATTTGGAATTATACTGGTGCTGTTATTGTTGTATTAGTATTCTATAAACAAGAAGTAATTTGACTATTTAGTTACAAAAAAAATAAATTAGAGAGGGTAAACAAAATAAGATGTTCTTTGACCAAAAAATAGTAATGTGTCATCTATTTCGGGACATAGGGAGTAATAAGAGTGGCATTTTGGCCATTCTGGTTTAGGGATTGACAACAGGTGGACTTCCTACTTTTATTGATGTGGGGAATAGCTTTGGCGCTCCTGCAATTATTGAGGACAATTTAATATACCAGGTAATGGCAAGGCTGCAGGTTCATATACATTATTTTTTCTTGAAGTGTTTTTATAATATCGCTATATTCTAGCCATTTTACTACAGTGTGTATCAAATAGTGTTTATTCATTTGATTCTTATTTTGTAGATGGTTCACAATGAAAAACGAGTCTGGATGATGGGAGATGACACTTGGTTGCAGTTGTTTCCTAATCATTTTAACACATCATATCCGTTCCCTTCCTTCAATGTCAAAGATCTTCATACAGTATGCCTTGTATCTGATTTTATGTTGAAACTTGCTTTTCCTGAGGAAGTGTGCATTATAACCCTATTTTGCATTAAAAAGTAGGGTGTAAGTTTGAGCATTGAAAAATGCTTTCTTTCTGAATTTTTATGATTCTTGTCTGCTAGGTAGATAATGGCTGCACGGAGCACCTATTTCCATCTTTGTACAAAGATGATTGGGATGTTCTTATTGCACATTTTCTTGGAGTGGTACGGTTATCATAAGCAACCTCAAATGTTATGGCAGTTTCACATTATCACCTGCTGACGTTCTTTGACCAATTGATTCCTATATCCAATTTCCAAGTCTCTAGGATCATGCTGGTCATATATCAGGTGTTGATTCTACTGAAATGATAGAGAAGTTGGAACAATATAATGGGATTCTAGAGGTACTTTTGTTATTTTAAACTTTTTTCATATTTAAGTTTGGTGCATGTGACCTTTTTGTTTTACGATGAGTTCAATATCCTTGATGCATTTTATATAGTTCTTCATGCTATTTAAATAAAATGAATTTCCCAACAAAGCAAGAATAACAACAAAAAAGGGGGTGGTGTATATTACATTATTTCCTTATAGACCTTTGCCTTTATATCACTGCTTTTGTTACACACATCTGGATTATGCTCATATTTTGCTCAAGCTGAAGACTCAATGGCTCTTGTTACCCAGTTTGAAGCAACCTTGACTCCTTGAATCATATTTTTACTATTGATTGATTGTGTACTTGCAAAGTCTCACATGAATCTGAATAACTGCAAAATAGTGAATTGTGTATTTATGATAGTTCACTCAAATGTTTTGGATGGATTATCTTCAATGTAAAATCTATTATCTTGTATAACATGATAAAATCTGGGTACCCTTTGCATGTTGCTTCGTGTGTCATATTGCTTTGTTAATGAATGTAATGGACTGTGTCTTTAGAACATAGTGGATGTGCTGGAGAGCCAGAGTGGGCCAGGAGGATTACATGAAAACACTTTGCTCCTTGTGATGGGTGATCATGGGCAAACTCTCAATGGCGACCATGGTGGAGGGACTGCTGAAGAGGTTTAACACCTACCATTGAACTTCAGCCTCTACAACCAAATATACAGAAAACAACCTGAAAAGAACACAGAATCAAGAACATTATGTGCTAGAGTGCCAATTCCTTTGTATCTCATAGAAACATTTTTGCAGGTTGAGACATCACTTTTTGCCATGAGTTTTAAGAAGCCTCGATCTCCCTTGCCATTGGAATCTGGCACTTCATTTTGCGAAGCTAACCTGGTATCCCTCCATTACCTTCTTCATAAATATGATATCCCTTGTATTTGACAGTGCCTTTTACACGTGTAGTTGCACACACACGCTCTCTCTCTCCACATCTCAATTTTTTTTGCCAAGTATATTAATAACCATTTTCCTTACGCGTTTGAGTGTCTTGTATATTTTCCAGGACGGAAATAGGATGTGCATTAGCTCCATCCAACAGGTTAAATGATAGTCACATTATGTGATGATACAGAATTATGTTTCTTTTTTAAGAGAATGCACTAAGCCATGCTTTATATTTCAGCTTGATTTTGCAGTTACATTGTCAGCTCTTCTTGGCATTCCCTATCCATTTGGAAGGTGTTGTATAAGAATCTCATCAATACATGTCATTTTTCTCAAAGCCACTTTATTGATCATGAAACCACATTATACTTCCCTTTGCTTATTTCTATAAATTATAATGTGCTAAAAGCATTTATTTTCCTTTGATGCTTTATATTACTTAATCCATCCAATAAAAAAGGTTCCACATTTCCTCTTTTGTTTGTCCCAGAAAAATGTTCCTTTTTTCTTATGAGGAAGTGTGCGATCCACACGATTTCTCTCTCTGCACAGATCTTAGTCACACACTTTTGCCTTTATTAACAACAGTGCCCAGTCAATTATGGAACCTTATTGGATAGAGGGAGTACTTACATGTAAACCCTAGACTGATTCTCCACCCACGCGCATGTGCGTATGGTTTGTGTACATCTTACCCTCCATGTATCCCACAGAGCCCACCTTGTGGGATTACACAAGGTCTCTAGACCACTTGATTACTTGGCCAAGCCCAATGTATCAGAGCCTGGAACCCTGGAAAAACATAAATTCTGTTTGAGAGGATACCAAAGGGTACCTGTACTGTATCAAAGGTGACGTGGTAGTAGACTGGTAGGGATTTTGTCATATGAAGTCATAGACATCCCGCTGAGTGATTCTCGAGGCGCTTCAGTTTTTTGGTGGTTAGTGGGAATTAACAGGCTGCACAAGACTGACAGTTCGCTTCTAGTGTTGACAGTGGTGAGAAGCACGTTGGTGAAGAAATGTCTATTGAATGTTGGTGAAGAAGTGTCCACTGGTTCATGGCAGTGAGCATGGACAATGTTCAGTGTCATCGTTTCTATTCCGTGCTTTGTTTCTGCATTCCTGGATTTTTGTTTGTTGTTTCCCTAAATTAGGGGCTACCTTAGCTCAAAGTTGGAGAAAATTGTTCTGGGTCAGTGCCTCAGTGGGTGGCTAAGGTTTCCGGGGCTAGAATATTAGAGAATGGCTATGATGAGAATTTTGCTTGAAAATTGTGGTTGGAGGGGTCAGTGAACTTTAGTGTTTTACTGCTTGGTTTATTCTGACTATTAGTTGACCTCCAAACTGTGTATTGAAGAACATATCTGTTTACTTTTAACTATAATAGAAATGACATTGTAAGTTACTAGAACATTCTATGTATCACTATCACGTGAGTCACATTTCGATTACAACAAAATAGAAGCTTGTAAAATCCTTCAGTGTTCCACTTTGGAAAACAGTTGGATGTAGGTAGGATACGAGATAGTTAATTAAGGGCCAAACTGTCATGCTTGAGTTGGTTTTTGTGGTGGAGTTAGTCCTTGATGTGTCTATGTGCGTATACTATCCTTTTCTGATGCACCCGATATCCTTTCAATGAGATCTGGTGTGTTGCAGGAAAAAGATGTTTTTGTGCTTAATAATCTGGCTTGGTAAGGTCTAGAATGGAGCTGGCCAAGAGGGAAAGGGGCTACTTGGTGTGGGGATAGTCCGGAGAAAAGAGTCTGAGCAATTGCTAAATCTGGATGTCCGACTTGTCTATGGGTGGGCTTATGACCCGTCCTCCCACGTTGCAAAACTATTGGACATCTAGATGGAGTATGAAGTTTGAACACTGAAGGGCAAAATATCCACTCTTGTCTTTTGTTTCCAAGGGTGTGTAGGGAGCTTAATGATAAAAATCTTGTGCTGACTCGTTCTGAAGCATGAGTCTGAACTGGTAACTTCCTAAACCCAGCTGCACCTGTTGATTCACGAGTTAAGAATGAACTTGCACGACTCATTCATGTGGGCCACAATAAGGTGGTGTAGTAAAACTAAAAGTATTGGTAACAAGAAATATGATTTCACTCAGTGTCTTGGTCTAGCTCTAGTCTATGGATCGTTCCCTCCCAAAGTTATACAGTTTGTGATCTTGAAATTAGAGAGTGATGGATGTATTACTCCCTCTGTCTAGTAAATTTCTTCTTGTTTTGACTTGGCACAGTTTTTTAATGTATGATAAAAAGGTGTTTGACTTTCCAAAATTACCGCTATAACTAGATCAGCTTTTGGAACAGTTAAAACCAGATCTGCTCTACAATTGATTTTCTCCGGTCTGATTTTAGGCTGCACAACCCTGTATTAATTCTTTCCTTAACACCAGAGAACATTAGCAACGTGAGATATTGTCCCCACAGGAATGCCTGAAATTGATGAGACGATGATGGAGCAAGAGATGCGAAGCAGATCATCTTTCCAGCGTATACCAGAAGCAGATTACCTTTCCTTGGCAGCCTCCTTTTTCCATGAAGATGTGAGAAGATTTTCAAGAGATCGAGAGATATGACGCCTGTGGAGAAGCAGTGACGGTTGAGGAGTGATGGCGGCAGTGGAGGAGGAGCAGCTGCAATGGTTGCAGAGGAGGAAGTGGAGGAACGACGGTGGCGGTTGTAGAGTTGGGTTAGGATGTAGATAGTAGGTGAGTATTTAAGAAAGTAGTTGGTTACTTATGAAAGTAAGATTTTGGAAGCAAAATTACTGAATTAGCAAGTGATTCTTTTCAGAATAAAAAACAAATGCAACATTTTGCTGATTCTGAGATGAAATCTGCTTTCAGAATCAAAGCCCAATGGCTCCTTAGCGACCTTTCATGAAAATCCCATTTGTAGAATTTAGAATGGGGTAGGATAACTAGATTGGGTAATAAGATACTTGGGCTGAACCACATTAAAAGATTGAATCCAATTAATTAGTTAGTTTAACTCAAGAGCTTTTATACTGATTATTTTTACTCTTGGACTTTTGATGTGGGATGCACTCTTACACTCCCCCTCAAGTGGACAACCAGGCCATTTTGAATCTAACCGGTTGACCACTTGCAAATGGACTCACATCCCCTTGATTTTTTTTGAGCGCCAATACCTAAAGGATCACGAGCCGCTGGGTATGGACTTCCAGACGAGCAATCGTGTTAAACGGGCCACAGACCGTTGGGTACATACTCCATACAAACAACTGGGTTAAAGACTAACGGGCCGCCAGGAATGAACGTCTAGACAGACCCCTTGACAAACGAGGCTGCTTTTTTGAATGGGGTAGGAATAATTGGGTAATAAGACACTTGGGCTGAACCACGTAGTATAATTTGGCACCAGTTCATCTCTCCAGTCAAGAAGTCTACAATGTTACCCTTGTAAAAGACAAAAATATTATATACTGCTCCAAAATTCATAGAAAGTAAGAAGAGAAGTTTAATGGTCATTTTAATGTAGTCCATTATTTGCATGATTACCCAATTTAAAGGAAATTTGCTTTTCCGACTAAATGTATTTCCGCAATATTTTACTTGATAATGCATGCCAAAAAAGTGTCATACACACTTTGTATTCAATTATTCATTGGCTACATATGAATTGAGTTTCCCTACTTCAAGTAAAATTTGTTAATGTCCTTGTAATTTTTTTGGTCCATTTAGTGTTGTATGACGACATGCAAAGTTGCATCCATTTTCAGCATTGGACAAGTTAACGCTGAACTCTATGCCCTGGTAGCTGGCACTTGGGATTTAGAAAATTTTGGCAATGGTAATTCTCAAGAAAAACTGGAGAAGTGGATGCAGAATTATGTCAATGCACTTTGCATCAATGCATGGCAGGTAATATTTTGTCATTCTCTGTTAATGCATGGCAGGTAATAAGATTTTTTCAACTTGCATTGGTGGTAACATATGTTCTTCCATGTCTAAAGAATATTTGAAAAGTTATGATGGAGTAAAGCAACTTGGCTCTTTAAACTGTCTGTGCTTCTTGCAATTGTGAAGTAGCAATTTGTCAATGCAAGTTTTGACGCTCACCATGGGTGCATAAATCCGACCCCCCCTAGCCCGCAATGGGCGGGAGCGGTTGAGGCACTAGGGTAATGTTGTTGTTGTTATGGAATGAACAAACGATCAGAGAATATACACTACTAATATTGCTCTAAGAAGAACTCTAAAAAAGTTGGTACTCAGTAATCACTAATAAGTGTCTTTAGTATAAGTCTAAAAATCAGTGTGGGCATACACAAGTTCAAATAACAAATATGAACTACCAGCCTTTTTCCGTTTCTCCAGCTAATCGAACAATTAAACTGTGATGCATATATCTCAGTTTCTGGATCACAGAGAAAGAAGGCATAGTACACTTCTTATAAGCTGCAAACCTATAATTTTGTGATACCTTTACAAGAGAAAACACTCTATCAAAGATCTTTTAAAAATAACTCTTTCTATTGGATACTTTTTTTATTAAAAATATCTCTAAAAGCATTGGAGATATTCGTATTGTCAATTCGTATTGAGAATTAAAATATTTGTTAGACTTGATCTAAGTACATCTTGCATGTCACAGCTCTAGATGTCTCCTATGTATGACTGTCTGCCTATATATCCAGGCATTTGTTTCTAATCAAAATCATCTCTTTTATATGAAAAGCCTCCTTTTTTACAATGCCCCACAAGTAATACTACAGTAATGTTTTGACATAGCTTTGTGAAATGAAAGTCAGTGATTTGCATGGATTTTCTAAACGATGGAGAACTAGTGACACTTTGACTCTGTGTGCGTCCTCATAAATTTATGCCTTAGAGAAGTCTTTTCTTAGGTGCTTTCAGGTTCCCTTGGAATATGAAATGATAGGACAAAACATTACTCTCCATGTTTCTTTATTATATTGTGCACTTTTCTTTTTGGGACATGCCAAATTATTTCGTCCACTCCTCTTTTATTGGAAATTCTCTCCCTCGTATCAACTCTTCCATAAGATCTTCCATTAACTTTTCAATTTAACTAATATCTCTCCCCCCATTAAAAAACTATAGTCAAATTTATACTTCTCTTTAGGTTACTTATAATCTGTGTGCAAGTCATAGTGTGCAAACTATTAAGAACAAAAAGAGAATTTAATGTTAAATAAAGAATGGCATAGATTGCTAATGGATTTAATGTTAGAAATTTGAGCAAACAAGCATTTATACTGAAGTTATATATTCTCCACAATGTTTTGAAGCATCACACATCACTTGATTTTTGTTGTTGCTGTTGTTGTTGAAGACTTCTCTCTTATATGCATACATGAATTTACTGATGCAGGTTAAGAATTATATTGATGTGTATTCAGCATCATCACTAATTGGTTTTTCAGAAAAAGATTTGTCACATGTTGTGGGCCTTTATGATCTTGCACAAGACATGTGGTCACATACCAAAGATGCTTTTGCGCAACGTGAAAATGGGAATAGCTCTACATCGTTACCTACACTGAAGAAGCAAATCTATGCTTTTTCCAACCTTTTGAATAGTATTTCCACTCTAGCCCGATCAAAATGGACAGAGTTTAATTTAACAATGATGGGTGCTGGTTTTGTCATGATGTTGCTATCTCTTCTTTTCCACGCCATCATCATCAAGAAGTTGGACAGAAAATGTGGATTGCATTTTTCTTATTCTGGCAACTTTAGGATATCGTTGGAGGTTGCTTTTGCTTATATTACCATCTTGATCCGGGCATTTAGTTTTCTTTCAAACAGTTTCATTTGTAAGTTCACTATCCACCCAATACTTTCTAACTGTATGAGACATAGTTCTTATCATAAATTAGGGTTTCTTCTTCAAATTTTTTATTTAATGCATATATCTCGGCTTCTGGATCTTAGTGGAAGAAGGCAAAGTGGCTTGCTTTCTTTTAGCAACAACCGGAGTTCTTCAGTTACGTCGAGCAATAGCTGCAAAGAAGATGCAATCAGAAGTAAGTGCCTGCTGCAGTGCTGAATATTTTTTAAGTAATGGTTTATCGAAATCCACCAATTGGATACAATCAAACTATTCAAAGTCATATAAGGGAACAGAGAACTGGAGAAGAACACCCATTACCACATTAAGAACAGGGAGTGTAATTTAATAGTCCACCAACTCTCTTCATCATACAAGTGCTAAATATTAAAATTTTACAAAATTTTGTAAACCTGGGTTTACCCTAGTGGAACTCCACTCCCTTTTTGAAATAATAGCAATCATTACCTATCATACTGCTGGTGCAATTAATATCAATTGTGTCTTTGGATTTCAAAGCCGGAATCGCGGCTTCTCTTTGCAGTTAATGAAAAAAAGAAGGCCTGAAAACTTTAGCCTTACAGTTTTTACTTTATTTCCCTGAATATGCAGGCTCTGTTTTTTGTTATCCTGGTCCCATTCCTCAGATTCGGAATTGAACTAGGACAGTCAAAGCAGGCGGTCAATTCTTTATTTTTGAAAACTTTTCCTTCATGGACCCTAGGAGTTGACAAAGCTTCTAAGTTCTGGATTTATGGAGCTGATCTCTTTCCAATACTCGCTCTTATGCTTTTAGCATTTATAGTGTACCAAAGCAGCTCTCGGGGAACATCAAAGTATATCGTTGCAGGAACTATATGCAGCTATTGTCTTATAGCCTTAAATTGGACTATCGATCTGAACCCTTTTGATTTAAGTGTGACAATTGGCAGTTCTAAAGAAAATTGGATTCCCCGCACAGTATATCTTTTGGGAATTTTACAAATTCTATTTTTGGCTACTGCACGATGTTTGGGGAAACAAATAACCTCAGATTCTGAAAGATGCCAAACCAGTGCATTGTCAATGTTATTTGCTTGGAGTTCAATAATTATCATTCTGTCAGGAAAGCAAGGACCTTTGGTTGCTTTAGTAGCTGTTATTGAAGGTACATGCTCTAACTCTAAATTATACTTTCGAAATTCCTTTTTGGATGTTTTATTCAATATCTAGCATTCAGTTGGTGAAATAAAACGTAAATTTCTACTATATCAAACAAGAGATAGCACAGGGATATATAATCCCCTAAGGAGTTACAAGGGCTGGAATTTAGAGAGACAAATACATGCATGGAATAATCTACAATATTAAATATGAATAATATTTAACAGTTGGTTTCATAATTTACTGGCTGTTAATTTAATGTTTCATTGTAATTATGAGAGCCTTGGGGTTATGCACTGAAATATTTTTTTATATAGGCTGGTGCATTGTTAGGCTTACAAGATTAGAACAGGGAGCAGTAGGTTCAACATTATTTTCTCCAGTAACTCAGTACTGCCTGTTAGCCGTGTGCCTCTTCTTCTGCACTGGTCACTGGTAATGCATATCTTTTCTAACGCTGCCAATTCAATAAATTTCAGTCAGTGGTCTCGTCTTGGTTTTTTCGTTCGATGTTTGAGTCGTGGTGATACATGGTTTCTCTATTTATTAGCACTTCAAGCAAATTTAATTGTCTTTTCTCCCCATTAATCGGACACATGGTAGTTCAGTTTTCTTTGATGTGACACGCTGAATTCTTTTACTCCCTCCGTCCCACAATGGATGCCATTATTCCCAAAACAAAGAAAAAACCTGATGCTTTTTCAATTCATTTTATTCAAAATCTGACATAGAAATAAAATGTAAAACCTACATATTTAAAATCTTCGTCAAAAGTTCTACTACAAAACAAGAGGTGACAACAATATTTTATTTTATCATATAAGCAATAAAAACCACAAACAAACGAAAGTTATCGTGAATTTTGAATAGTGCAGAGTGGCATCCATTGTGGGACAGAGGGAGTATTCTCTTTATAAAGGAGGTAGTACAAGTACATCCCCTCCCAATTTGTTCCTTTATTGTGCCGCTTCATGTCATGCAGGTGTACATTTGATGGGCTTCGGTATCCTGCTGCATTTATTGGGTGAGAACAAATATTTCTTCTCATAGTTGTATTTAAAGTTGTTTCTTTGATCTGGTGTGATCTGATCCCAACAAGAATAACTAATAAGTAATAAGAATAAGTTGAAGTGAACAAGCTCTAACTAGTGATGTTTGGGTATTACTATCTTCTTCATCTTTGCAAGTAGATGGAGAAAGGAGCTTATATTATTTGAATGAAAATTAAGCTTTTCTTTCCATTGAAGGATACCTAAATACTAATGTGCCTAAAAGAGACATTACTTACTCAGCCATCTTACTTGTTCCAGATTTGACGAATTCAACCTTGTTCGTCAAGCTCTTCTTCTGACTATTGATACATTTGGCTTTTGTCACATTCTTCCAATCATTGGGCTCCCGTTTCTCGTGGCTTCCCCACCCCATTTGGAGAAAAGTTCTCAGAGGAAGCAATTATTTTACATGAGATTAATGCAAGTAAGTTTGATCTCTAAACATGAAAACCAACATTAAGTGGACTTTTGAGTGTTCTCCAAAAAAAACTGAGTTTTTTTTAAGGCATATGGGCAGCGTGTGTTATTTATTCCAGGTATATTTAATGTATGGACTTGCTATGGCTACAACCACAACACTCACTATCTTATCTGTTACAATACAGAGACGGCATTTGATGGTACACTGCATTTAGATTCTCTGCCTCTTCCCCCTCCCCTCTGTCCCAAAAAGATTATCATAATTTGACTTTTTTGGTCAAACTGTGCAAGACTTTGACTACAAATTAAATATAGTTTCAAATAATCAAATGTTATAAAAATTTGATGTATCAAAACTATATTTTGAAATGAACCCCATTTTACTAATTTACGTTATAACTAATATTTTTTCCCCAGTGTTTGTGGTCAAAGTGTAACATAGTTTGACAAAAAAAAGTCAAACTGCGATGATCTTTTTGGAACGGAGGGTGGTAGCATTATCAATTTATCATTGGCTAACGCACATGAACGGTTATTGTAGGTGTGGGGATTATTCGCTCCAAAATTTGTTTTTGACGCGGTCGGTCTTCTTCTGACCGACTTCTTAATATGCCTCGCGTCTCTCTACTATTTCTCTAACTGATGTTTTGCGTAGAATTCTACTCAAGTGACCCTTTGTCGTTTTTCATGTCATAATAAGCCCTCACGGAAACGATCGCTTTCCATTTCTAATGTAACATCATCTCTTATGTTGTTATTTTGGTATTTGTTAGGTAAAAGACTTCTATGAAGAAGAAACATGGCCTAGATTAACCTGCAAGTACACTTTTCTATGCCTTAGAGTATTTCATGATTATCACTTCCATTTTGCTTAGTATGAAATGATTTTGGCAAGTACACTTGTTTGGAGCTGCATAAGACTCATTTGCAACTCAAGTGCAACTTTTGTTATAACTATTCACAATTACATAAAAAGAAATTTTGTAATTTACGCCCTCTGTCCCATTTTTAAGTTTCTGTTTTGGTTTACATGTTTAACTGAACTTGTTTCAATTAAACTTATACGAAATTAGGTGGAATTAAGCTGTGATATGATTATATATATTTTGTCAAATGACTTAAAAATTAGTAAAGAAAGTGGATAAAATTTGACCTGTGAATACATCATATCAAAAAATGTTTTTGTGCAAAGAAAAATACTTTGTAGAGTTCTTGGACATGCTTTGGTCTTGCTTGTTGAGTCATCAAGTCTCTTTTATTAATGAGATGTAACACCCGCCTTCCGTGGACCCGGTTCACCCGCGACCCGACGGACCGGTAGGGTTACATGGGCGTCCAAGAACCGTCCGTAGAGGAAAATGCATTAATGTCCATTTATTTTGGAAACGGTTGTGATTAATTGGTGTAATAAATGCTAGGAGTTATACCCAAAACATGAGCGATATAAATGCAGAGTAAAAACGGAAGTGAATAAATAAGTCCAAAATAGGTGAAATGACATATGGTGGGTTCATGCCCAAATGATTAATTTATTAAATGTATTTAAATATTGAACTCGTCCGTGCGCCGCCCATCCTCCCACCATCACTGTCCTCCAGGGTTAGCACCAGTATCGTCATGTCTACCTGCGCGTAGCAAAGAAAACAACTACACGCTCAACAAAAGCTGAGGAGTGAATCTAACAAAAGAACATGAAGTGATAACCCATATGGTCATGCACATATTAATACTTGTACTTAACATACGGAAAAACACATATTTACTAACTGACTAATTTGTACTTGATGGAATATTATTACACATAACAAAATGATATACTACCACATTGAATATGGACATGATGGGGATCATACATGATGATGACAACCACATTAAATGTTGACGGGACATGAACATACAAGATGACGATATGACCTGATGCATGATACCCCTGACTTAGTCTCACTTGACAGGATCACCCCTGCACTCCGGTAATGAGCCGGGCTCGACAAAACGTCGCAAGTGAACTAGCAAAATTGGGTGGTAGCCGTAGCCTGACTACCATTTACGTACACAAAGCCCACCTGATGAAAACCCGTTGGATCCCAAAGGTTCCTGGACGGGCCCACTGTAGTAGGCGCACGAAAGCCTGACCTCCCTACAGCGGTATGCACATGATGATGAACCTAGGACATACGTCTAGGATGAACATGATGACATGAATGCATTGATTGAAGAAAGAAGTTAAATTTAATGCATACATATGGGTTTGATTACAATTTGTTCAACATGATGGCCTTAGGTTCAGAACTGGCTGATAATCGATTGTCTACTGTTGATAATCGATTATCATGCTGTGCAGCTTCTGTCCCCAAAGTCCTGCAGGCTGTGATAGTCGATTGTCACCCTATGGCAGTCGATTGTCGTGTTGGTTTGTTCGGGAAGTCCTAAGTTCAGAGAGCCCTGACAATCGATTATTGCCTATGTGATAATCGATTATCAGTGAAGCCAACTCAGACCCAAGAATCCGCGGGGCCTGATAGTCGATTATCACATATGTGATAATCGATTATCACGCTATGCTAAATCAACTGAGGCCAGCGTGGCCTGTTAGTCGATTGTACTATTCTGTAACTCGATTATCAAGGCACGCTGACTTCCATTAAATCTGTTTGTTTGTCATCAAAACGTTGGAAGTTTTAGAAACTAATGTTTATATTTCCATGCTAGATAATCTAATAACTTACAAGGTTTCAAAACATTTATATTAACGAGAACATAACTTGATAACATGGATACACGTAGGTTGGATGGTTAACCTACGAACATGCATAGTTTCTACGTAGGTTGCGTACGATATTCCTATGAATATAACAACATAGATTATGACTTGATGTTCTAAAATTAGAGGAGACAACTACTCACCTCTAAATGAAAAGAGGTTGATGAAACGGAAACAAAATGAATGAACGGCGCCAACAATCGGACGAACGATGGACAACGAACAGCCTCACGCGTAGACCTTTTTCCCTTCTTCTTCTTCACTTCCTCGCCGGAGACAACCACGCCTGGTTGCTTCTATGAGTGGGCTGAATGCAATGGAGGAAGAGGAAGTGAGTGTGAATATTTGGGGGTTACAAAGGTGGTGGAAAGTGAAGAGGGGAGAGGTCATTATATATTGATTGAGAAATATGGAGAATTGATGGGGAATAATGATGAATTAAAGTTGATGAGCAAATGGAAAATGAATGGGTGGTTGGTGTGGGTGGCGTGTGGAATGGGAGTTACTTCCCATAAATTCTACTCCGTTATGTAAAAAAAAGCTGACCTGAACGGTACGCGCTTTTCCCCCCAAACGGGTCCGAATTGAAAACCGTTTACGTTTTTGGAATCAGACAGTCAAAACAAATTTAATGACGTGTTCAAATAATTTTTCTAAGAACTTTTATTTTCCCCAACTCTGGACCGGAACAGTAATTAATTGTTTAAAACAATCAATTCTAATAGACCGGGTTGTAGGGCGTTACATGAGATATTCTTCTGTGGTCTTAACGTTCACACTCATTTTGTGAACCTTAGTATATAAATATCATCGATGAATTGAGTCTTTTAAAATAAATATTTTCATGTCCGTCCATGAAAAATGTTAGATTCAAAAATGTCCGTCCATGAAAATAAATATTTTCATGTCCGTCCATGAAAAATGTCCGTCCATAGAAGCACACCTCTTCATTAATAACACTAGCACAACACACTTTTATTAATATTTAATGTAATTCTTATTCAATTGATAATCAAAGTTTATTCAATTTGACTAAAAAATAAAAAATCAAACTAAATTAATATTTTGGGATAAAAATAGTATTTAACAATTTAAAAAGACTGATATATCCAAGTGTTATGCATGCATTGGGCATCCCTAATGCAAGGAGTTTTGGGATTCTTTTAGACTCTCCAAATCATTATTTTAATATTTCAGACTCCAAATCAGACTTTTAGAAAAATTACATCAATTCTCATCACCTTACGCACTTTGCCAAATAATATTATATTCTACAATCTTTTATTCTATAAACTTTTATTTTTATTTAATCAGTAATTTAATATATGATTGTATTATACATTGATTTTTTAACCAAATTTGTTCATAAATATAACTAATCATTCCAAAAGTCAAAATGAAATTAGAGAAAATTATATAAACTTAACACACATATAATTACATAAAATAAAATGAGTGTATTTCATTAAAATCATTTAAGTAAACATACATATAAATATATCGCATAAAGTAAAATTAAAAGCATAATCAATTAAAATTACATAAGTAGACGTAATTGAAATGTACAATGGCTACATTTTGGTTCATCTTTAAGAGAATGAAAGATATAAAAAATTAAATATAAAACTACATAAAATAAAAATTATATAAACTAAAATATAGAAGCATAATAAAAAAATTATATAAGTAGACATAATTGATTATTGTATTTTTTTCTAAATGGGGAGAATTGATTTTTTATTACAAAATAATTATAACTAAATTAAAAAAGAATTACGTAGTAATATTTATGACACATGTCTATGATTGAGTTGGGAGTCTTGAGAATGAGTCAGTACTTCTTTAAAAAATTTATTCCAAATAAAGTACTCCCTCCGTCCCAATTTATTTGCAACACTTCGAACGACGTGCAAAATATCATCTCTTTTAAAATCACTTTACTTTTAAATGGGTAGAGTAATAAAAAGTAAAAATTACACCATTCAAAAGTATATGAAAAGTTCTACAAAACAAGATGCGACAAGAATATTTTATTTTATCAAATGGTCAACCAAAACGAGTAAACAAACAAAAGTTATTGAGAGGCCAAAATAGTAACTGTGGCATTCTTTCTGGGACGGAGGGAGTAAAACATAGAGAAAGTTCTTAATACTAATGGTTCGTATCGGAAAAGAATCATGCATGTTCGAATTCTATAATCAATTAATCTTGCAAGCAAAAATTAATAGCTAGGCATGCAAATATACAACGACAACAACAATTAAGTTAAATCTCATTAAAGTAAGGCCTGGGGAGGTAGCGTGTACGCAAAGCTTATTAATTACTTGTACTCGAAAGTAGAGTAGGGATCAAAGACGATATCTAAAGAGAACCATGATGAGCGTCGAAAGTTGTATTATATTGAGTAATGAACTCTGATTTCACTATTCATAAAAATACAAATAGATTAAAAAATTATTTTATTTCATTTCATCATACTTCAAAGCCAAAAAATTGAAATAGTAAATCTTTAGCTTCATCATATAATACAACAAGGCATGCAAATGTATTTTCATATATTCTCATTTACTATAATAATTACTATACTATAAGAACATCTTAATTAATATCTATATGATCTCATTGCATGCGATTTTCTACGTAAACATAACTACGGAAGATTTCATTCTATGAAAAAGGAAACCTAAGCCTTTTGTCTTTCCCCATATATATTGTCCCCATCAATCATTCACAAATCACAATATTCATAAACATTATTGAACAAGTATTACTAAAGATCAACAATTATTATCACCTTGAGAAAATGCATCCACAGTTGGATCAACCAGATTTAAGAGTCCCGGGACCAAACTCAACGTATCATCCTCCTCCCCATGCCTTCAACAACAGATTTGTTTTCAGAACCAGTCTAACGATAGTATTTCTACTACTTGTAGCAGCATTGCTCGTGATCCTCGGCTTCGGTTGTCGACACCAACTCAAGCATAGAAGGGGAGATGATACATTGCCGCCACGGCGAGCCGGACCACCGCCTTCGTCTTCTTCTGCAGCTGCAGCTGTACCTACGCATGCAATCCCATAATTAATCACATATGCTTATACTTTATTATGTTTTATATTTTTATGAAGATGGAATATTGTATGGTCAATCCATCAATTAGTATGTCTCTAGTTCAATAAGAATATATATATATACACACACACACACACACACACACACACACACACTCCCTAAGTCTCGAGAATTTCTTCTCATTTGATTTTTTTAATCAAAGTTTGTACACTTTGACCTTGATATGAGAGAAAAATACAATGTGTTATAATAAAAATGTGATATCAATAGATTTTTTTTTAAATATATAGTTTTGAAATACCTGTAGTATGGAATTTTTATAAAATACTCAATATCTATGTGGATACCAATAGTCAACATTAATAGAGACTATAAAAAGTTGAATGAGAAAAAAATTCGAGACGAAGAGAGTAGTATAATATAATGGGTATGGATGTAATATACTTTCACTACAAGAATTTATGTCTTTCACCACACTTAAAATTGCTTTTCGCAACATATATAAGTGTGGCAAAAAGTGTTCGCCACACATGAGCTAAGTGTGGCAGCTAAAAGTGTGGGGAAAATTTTGCGACACATAAAATAAGTGTGGCAAAATGAATACGGTAAGCACACTTGTAAGTGTTGCTAATCTTGTCTTTTGTGACATTTATATGTGTTTCCAACGCACCGCACATGTAAATGCGGCAATTTTTATTTGCTTGAAATAAATAAATAAATATAATATGCACACAAACATGTGTTGCTAATCACAACTCTGTAACTAATTTTTAAACATCGTTTTTGACGGTATTTTTCAAATATTTTAAAGATTCGTAATACACACACATACATACATATAAATTAAAAATCAAGCCAATCAAAGTTTAAATTAAATTAACTTACTAATCTTGCATATAAAAAGCTATGCCATCATCAAATTATAAGTACCTCCATGGGTATGTAGTACGTATATCAAAAATCTAGAGTCAAAACAAATGAGTTCAAAATTAAAAAGGAATGCAATATATATTCAGTATTCTATGATATGTCCTCCAACCACTGTAGATCGTCACTTTGTATTCAAACTAGTGCAGAATCACTCATGCAAAAGCCTGACTTCAGTTTATAAATTAATCTACTTCTGCTCTCTTGTGCATAAGCCTGACTTCAGTTTATAAAAAAGTTTTACCATCTTTTCTTGTGTTATTATCTTTGTTCGACACCTGCAAAGTCCAAAAAACTTTGAATTAAATCTCTATCATATAAGAATTATGCAAAAAAAGTGATACCTAAGTATAAAAAGACATGCAAAACATGAAAGGCAGCAGCTAGATAAAACTCTATCCTATATTCTTATTCTGCATTATTGAAGACGAAAATTAGAGCTCAACATCTTACAGGTCATCTCTTTGTATATGTAGTATCATGATATCATCATCACCTTAGTCCCAGTTAATTGGGGTCAGGGACATGAAAGTTATAGTGCCACTTAGTTGTTTAAATAAGTTTAACACTGTAATTTATGCAAAAAAGTGTTTAACAGAACTGGACTAGTGCCTGTCATTGGACTAGTGTTTTCATAAATTGGACTAGTGTTTAAAAAGTTTAACACTATGAAATAATAGCCTTGGTCGTTGGACTAGTGTTTAAAAAGTGTTTTCTCTCCCTGGCATTGGACTAGTGCCTCGACCGAGGCTATTATTTCTACCGGGAGTCTCACGACCGAGGCTATTATTACCCTACGGCATGTATACCACAGCTACTCAGAAAAACATATTCTCCATCACATATAGTTACTCGAAGCAGAGCAAAAATTCTTGAAGGGAGGAAGCTGATTCAAGTAGGATGGGTAGAGGAACAAAAATTGCATGAACATGAAGACTCTTATGAAACATATATATGCACACACACACACAATATAATGCACTTACAAGTATAGATTTGTCTAGCTTTTCTCGTAGTACTGTGTTTAACAGATCTGGATCTGCCCTGTTCTTGCACAAACCAGTAGCCTGCAAATATTAAACACACACAGACACATATAAGATCTTCTAGAAGAATAAAAAGATAAACAAAAATTTCAAACTTTTAATTTAATTTCAATTTTTACCACTCCCTCTAAGAACAAAAGAACAAATTCTCTTTTTGCTGGAGATCGATACTTTTGTAGTTCATGAGGGTAATCTTTTTACCACTTTGTCCACCAACAATTCTATTTGAGCTCGAGATAACTGGACCTACAATTCATAAATTTCAATCATTTATTCATCAAGAAAAAGTTAAAATGAGTAATATTTTAAAGAGAAATTCATATCATTAGCTAGAAGAAATAAACTTACATGATTCATATTGTTTATTAATGGGCTTTTTTCTTTTTCTGACTTTTTTGGCTCCTTGCATGCATAAAAAATTGTTGGGGTAGTATTAGATCCAGTATATCCTACCATGCTCATTCTAATGATATGATTCTAATTGACAAAAAAACATACTCATTACATAGTCAATTATCACACGTACTATATGTGGTACAAAGCTACACCAATGTAATTTCATACCTTGTTCATTTCCTTGTGGGTTACATTATGCCTAACAGTTGTACATTTTTGTGGTTGCAAAACAGCTGTGTCACTGGCAGTAGTTATGGGTGTTCTTTGAGAAACCTTCTGTTGTTCACCCTTACCATTCTGAAAAAGAACTTTTGTAGTAGTCGATGACTACAACAAGTCCACATGATAAATACAGTATAAGTCAGTATCAATATTGTGTGTAATATTCCTAGAGTTATTAAAATAAATTCATCAAAAACCCTTACCCGCATATAGTCGCTACTTGCTTTTGGAATCCACCTTGCTCTTGATGATTTGTTATTTCAATGAATTTGTACCTCTTTCTGATTGGAAGCCTTAAGACACACAGTTACAAACAATAAAAATCAATTAAAAATACAAACCTGTCATTGAAACTCACAATAAATTATCTACGCTTGAAGTACTAATGATATGAAGGGAACCACCTGTTAGAGATGCATTGTACTTTCATACTTTGAACCATGATTACTGTGTATATCATGGTTTAAGCCTTCATAAGAACCACCTCTGGTACATGGTGAGTCATGAGATATATCAACGTGATGGGGTGTGTTCTGCCTTGTACCTTCACGATACTCACTCCTTGTTATCGATGCATCATGTCTCAGTACTTCAGTAGTGGGGCACCCTTTAAACGGTAAATCTTGTCTTGAATCTTCATGAGACTCACCATCATTCATGGGATTAGTATGGTCTGAACTGTGATCCCCAAATTTAGAAGTTAGAGAGGCTATTTGATCTTTCATCTTTTGATTTTCATCTTCCATCATTTGCAATTTCTTAAGGATTTTCGCCATTGCAGTTGGCTCAGCATCGCAACGAATCTTACGTAGGTCTTTTGCATTAACTCCACGGCCTAGACCTGTCACTTTTCCCTTTTCCGGTTGAGGACCCATTAATATTTTATGAGCAAATTTTTCCGCCTCTCTTGTTTCTTCTGAAAAGTTACAATCTCCAGTCTTTTTCTTAATAATAGTCATGGCTGTGTTCTAACTCAAAACAAAAAAAATACATTAATTACTAATTTTAACCTCATATCAAAGTAACACCCACATGATATATATATATATATATATATATATATATATATATATATATATATATATATATATATATATATATATATATATATATAATTACCACAAACTCTGTTGTGATGGGTTCATGAAAGGTTTTATCTTTCTTCTCACGTGTTTGTATGAACCGCTCGATTGGCCCTGGCTTCCATTTATGCTTCCTTTCCTAATTGGATATATAAAAAGCACATTCAACGGATAACATACATTAAATTTAAAAAATAATGAATAAAGTTGAAATAAAATAATGTATAAACTTACAAACTTATCGAATGAAATTGCAAAACTTTCAGATCCATTAGTGTGAGAATGTGTTAGTTTTTCTCTAGCATTCTTCCCATGTTGAGACTTTTTCTACATATAAAGATAAGAATATTAACACCTTTCTAGTTTACACACATATCAGTGTATCATTAATCATTATAACAAGCTTCATATAACCATTGATACTTTGTAAAGTTCAACGCTAACCTCAAAACCTGGTGAAAAAGACAATGTTACAAATCCAGCCCACATAGCGTCATCCACGTCTTTCGGACGTACAAGACCCTCATTGCCACCTGACTTGGAAATGGGCAAATTATACAGGTCCTCCTTGGTTGTACCTTTTTGAATATATTTTTGTCGTAAAGAATGCTTGTAACCTCTTAACCTCTCTCCAATAGTGCTTAAAATTTTGTCTTTAGCTGAATCGGTGGATGGCAACACAAATTTTTTCTACGTGTAATTATATAGATGAAAAGTTAAATTCATTTCAAAAAATATAAAGTGATTTGTATAAGAATAATGGACTCCTAAGACTAACAAAAAAAAATTGGCTGACCTTTATGTAGTCCAATATGCGATTTTTATATAATGTAGGCACAACACGCCAATCACTATAATTTATAGGACAGAATCGAGGACGCTTTGCAATGTTAGCTAGAAATCGGTTGAACAGACCTCCCGCTTTCTTAACAGGTTGTAAAAGCTTGTTCATTGGTACTAGAATTCTAGTTCCAACATCCAAGCCAATCACCACATTTACGGTAATTCGTCCCCTAAGCTTACTCACGTTTCCTTGAGCATCTGTAAGAGGACATCACATAGGTAGCACATACACAATACTGTTGCAAAGAGAAGGTTCAAAAGCATAAAAGTGATGGAAATTAACACATATTAATACCTATGGTCAACACTTCTTCATCGTCATTAAACCCTTCAGGTAAGGGTATAAGAGATGGATCCAAATCAAACACGACATCAGAGTCATCATCATCTCCATAATCATGATTGTAGTGATTATCCTCTTCACTATAAGTTTCATCTATATCATGCACAGTAAAGTCGTTTGGAGCTCCGCCTTCGTTTTCAAGCAAGTGTTGATACTCTTCAAAGGTACGCTTTGAACGAAACATTACTTGCTCAAATTAGATATGTGCGGCATAAACGGTTAGCTTCAAGGCACTACAAGCATAAAACTAAATCAAAAGTTCATATCATTAAAAACTAGATGACGATATGATCACTAAGCACATACTGAGAATTAAAATAATAATACAACAATATGCAAGATCGAAAAAATCATCTCTTAAATGTAAGAAAAAAAGTATAGGCTTAAAGTTTTGTTATTCAACATCTTTAAATGAGCCTAAGTTCTTGGCTTTGCATGAACAACATGCTCCCATCCTTTATCTCTCTCGTCTTCAACGTAAAACACTTGTTGGGCTTGTGAAGATAAGATATAAGGATCATCCTTTAAAGCCCCTCCGACATGTATCTTATGTGTGAAATTCAAGAGTGTGAATCCTCTTTTGTCCTTCTTAATCCCTTTTGAGTGCACATTCACCCAGTCACAACGAAAAAGTATGACTTTATACTCTGAATAATAATCTAACTCAATAATGTCATTGATTTTTCCAAAGTATGTTTTATCCCCAGCTTCAACTGCAACGCCAAAATTTTGAGTTTTGTTTTTCTGGTCTCTTTTTTGAGTGTGAAACCGGTACCCATTGATCACAAACCCGTTCATTCTCTTCACTACTCGATGAGGATCTGAAGCCACCGCCCTAAACACACTTGATTCTGAATCTTCAATACCTATGTTTGAGACCTAAGGTATATATATGAATAGCATTAGTTATATGGAAAAAGCCTACTTTAAATTATTGTCATTCGAAGACATAAGTTCATTAACAAATACCCTTTCTCTTATCCAAGTTGGAAAATCCTCAACCAACCATTTTTGCTTAATTGCATTTGTTGGCACTCGTGGATAAGATTCCAATTTTTCATTAAAAAACAACCTACAATATGTAAAAAGAGTTAAAAATTCATGTTATCGATCATTATCTTGATTCAAAAATAATAAGTACACTCACCTATGATACTCATCAATACCATCAAGATGCAGGAGTACATATCGATGAGCTTGTTGAAAATCTAATTCAGGAATTTCAACCATATCCACCATTCCTTTAGGCTCACTCGCAGTATCAAAAAGATAAGTGTCATTACCAACGAGACTACTAACATTGCGTCGTTGTCGATTAAAAACAGTTTCCAACCCTCCAAAATACCTTGAGCAAAAGGTTATACATTCATGCGCAATGTATCATTCTGCGATTGAACCCTCTGGTTGTGCCTTATTACGTACTAGGCCTTTAAGAAATGCAAGAAACCTATGATGACAATAAATAAATATTACTTTTGTAATTGATACTTACCTAAACATAAAAAAATAGTATTTATTCTTACCTCTCTATTGAACCATGATAGTGAAAAAATGTGGAGGAAATATTTTCTCCATTTTACACAATGTTGTTGCGATATTAGCTTTCATTTCATCTAATTTTTCAATAGACAATTCCTTTGAGCATAATTCCTTAAAACATGTTGATAATTCAGTCAAAACATCAACAACGTTGGTATCTTTAGCAGCCATTAAGGCAATATGGAGCAGGTCATGCATCAAAATGTGACAATCATGACTTTTCAAATTGAATAATTTGCGCTCTCTTAAATTCACACATCGAGATATATTACTTGCATATCCATCTGGGAATCTTACATGCTTCAAGACATTTAGAAAACGTGTCTTCTCTTCAGATGACAATGTATAAGGGGCATCAGGGATTTCATACTTGCCATTTGGTAACAAAATAGGATGAAGAGAGGGTTTAATATTTAAAACCTGTAGATCTTTACGTGTCTTCAAGTTATCTTTTGATTTCCCTTCTATATTCAAAAATGTACCCAAGAAGTTATCACATATGTTCTTCTCAATATGCATAACATCCAGACTGTGGCGAAGGAGATTATATTCCCAATAAGGCAAATCATAGAAAATACTTCGCTTCTTCCATATCTGTTGTTCATCATTTTCATTGATCTCCACATTTTGAAAATCACCCTTGCCATATGTAAATGTTGTACCTCGTAATTGCTCTAGCACATCACTACCACAACAACATTTAGGAGCATCTCCAAAGTCAACATTCCCATCAAATCCAACATCATCAAAACGGAATGCATGATTCTTAGGAAGCCACCTTTTATGACCCATGTAGCAAAATTTATGCCCATTTTCCAACCATATTGAATGTGTATATTTAGAGCAAGATGGGTAGGCAAAACGGCCCTTAGTACTCCAACCAGATAAATTTGCATATGCTGGAAAATCATTGATTGTAGAATGGAGAGCTGCACGTAACTTAAATTTGCTATTCGTGTGTGCATCGAACGCATCAACCCCATTCTATAATTGTAATAATTCTTTGATTAAGGGTTGAAGATAAACATCAATATCCATTCCAGGAGCCTTTTCTCCAGGTATAATCATAGATAAAATAAATGAGTGTTGTTTCATGCATAGCCAAGGAGGCAAGTTATATGGAATAAGCAACACTGGCTAAGTACTATGATTTGTACTCATGATTCGGAATGGATTAAACCCATCGGTAGCAAGTCCCAACCTAACATTACGTGGATCAGAAGCAAAATCAGGATTCAATCTATCAAAATTCTTCCATGCTTCTGCATCTGCTGGATGCCTTAGCTTTTCATCTTTGACCCTGTCTTTTTGGTGCCATATCATATCCTCGGCTATCTTCGAAGACTTGTACATTCTCAGTAACCTTGGTATAAGAGGAAAGTAACGCAATACCTTATGTGGTACTTTTTTATTTTCGTCTTTCCACCGTGAAGCACCACTTTTTTCACACTCATTTTGATTTTCCCTTCCATTCCAGTAAAGAATACAATCATTAACACAAGCATGGATCTTTTCGTAATGAAGCCCTAAATCCCTCATTAACTTCTTACATTCATTCCATGATGTTGGAAATGGTGTAATCTTTGGGAAGACAACCCCTAAAAGTTCAAGCAACATGTTGAATGATTTAATGGACCAACCATGCATGCATTTCAGATGGAACAAGTGTAACATGAAAGATAACCTTGAATAACTTGATCCCGGATATAACTCCTGATGGGCTTGCTCAAGTAGATTTTTGTACCCAGCCTCTTCAAAGTTCTCATCTTCATTCATAGCTTCGTAAGAGTTAAGTTCATCAATAAAGTCATCATTTACCATAAACTGCTCACCATCTATACCAAATGAAGGATCTAAATCAAGATGATTACCGGAGTCAAGGTGCTGCAATTTTTTATAAATCCCTTCATTGCATATCCCGAAAATATCACTGAACAATGCATTAGTGTCCACATTGCCATCAAAGTTTGTGTCATTGGTAGCGTTGGTGTGGCTTGGAGTATGTGGAATCAAAATTGGTTCCCTATGATGCACCCATTCTGTGTACTTAGGCCAAAATCCATTGAACATGAGGTGTTCAGTTACTTCATCTCTATTAAAATAGCAACTATGCCCAATTTTACAACGATTACAAGGGCAAAGAATCACATTACGGTTTGGAGCATTTGCAAAAGCAAAATCGAGGAATGCTTGAACTCCACCTATATATTGTGTCGATGTTCTATGCATATTAATCCAACTCTTATCCATTTCAAACAATGTTTTAACCTATAAAAAAGAAGAAACAATGTTTTAACCTAAAAAAGAATAAAAACTAATAAACCATATACATTTCTTTTATACTTAAATGATAAAAAAATAATAAAATACTTTGTTAAATAGGTGTATCCTGCAAAAAAACCAAGTGGCACAAACCTTATGTATACATGAACACATGTGAGAGAGTAATAAAGAGTGTTTGACATGACTTTATTACAAAGAATAAGTGTTAAAGAAAGTAAAGTACTTTTACCTAAAAAAAAGTAATCATCTCACTTTAAAATGGTAAAACTGCTTTTGGTGGTGGAAAGCTTAATGCTTATTTAAGAAAGCACAAGATTTGCAATTTTTTTTAAAAAAAATAAGAGAAACCACTTATGATAAATCAATTATGCCATAGGCTATTATAAATAGTTTATAAAACCTTTGAAACGCATTGATCAAACCACTTTGATTGTGCTAACCTTAGGCTTAGAACATTTTATATGATTTTGTAATACTTTATATGATATTCTTATATAATAATGATGAAACATTACGGTTGTGGACTTTCAAATATGAGGAAACGACATAGCATTTGGCGATTATCCTCCAAACAAAAACCTGTTTGGCTATTTGAATACTAGAACCACAAAGACGGCATGGCAATTTGGCTATTATCCTCCAAGAGACCAGGCACGAGATCACCAGGGTGTCCTACTTGCCTCCATCTACTGCTGCCCTAAGTAATCAGTTCTGGCACTGCACTTAGGCTAGGAAATCCGGCAAACATAACCTACATCACCCAAGCAAGCAGCCCCAACAAGCCGCAAGAACCAAAGTAACTAAGTGAGCCATCAAGTTGCCCAAACATTCCTCCCAAACCCCAACCGAAAGGGTCAAGTGGACCACGAACAAGGGCTGCCAACAATAGAAAGAACTACCACGATGCAGGTTAAACAGCCCCAATAGTAAGGGGTAGCTCACTTGTTGTCACGACATTAATGGGATGACAATTTCAAAAAGATTCGTTGGAAGCGATATACATTGAATTATAGCTTAGGGTTGAGCATAGATAGTGAGTTTTAGTATACTCAATTTAGAATATTTCCAATTCATTTGTGATATCCAAAAAAATATACATTAACCAAACCAAAGTCCCTACCAATGAGAAGTCATAGGCAAAAGGTTTGAAAAAACACAAAAGGGATTAATCCCAAATGATGAAACTAGAAATCATTCTGGCCATTACTTTTTTTTATCATTACCCGCTAGTCCCTTCGTTTGGCAATTGTGAAGTACATGGAGAAATTTTGTCAAACGGGGACTTTTAGGAAGTGCTTGGAGATATTTGGGAAGTGCATGGAGAAATTGGTCAAACACGGACTTTTAGGATATCAAACAAACACAAACCTATGGAATTTGGGATCTTAACAAAATCTAAGTCCGTGACAAAAACTGTGCATTATAGTTGTTTCGGGATGTACTAGTTGGATCCTCAGAATTCA